GTTATGCACAAATTGACATTGACACTGCCATTTGACTTGACAGGACAGCGAATGCGACGCCGGTAAAATACTGCGTTCATTAAATTATAAAACTTGTGTTTCAAAGACGGTAATTATTCAGTAAGAGATCATTTGTGAAACCACCATTTGTTATTTAATTTATAAAGATAACCATTTTAAGGACAAGTCAATTGATTGATACGCGAAAAAGAAAAAAAAATATTTTGTCGTTCCTTAATTATAAAATACGAAGTATACGAACGCAACTGTACGAAATGCCAAAATTGTTTGGGTTATCGTTTTACTTGGATTGGTTGTAAATACGGAAAATATATAGAAAAGCAGCTGAAAAATAAAAACATTGTATAAATAGTGAATACACAAATTTAATGCTACAACATGTAAAAAATCCACGAAATCAAATATAATCGAAAGAAAAGTCAAGGATTTTAGTCAACTGAACTTAGTCTTATACATTTTATTTTAAAAACAAAATATAAATAAAACAAACTACTATTTAAATAAAACCTTATAGATTTATCATCAATAAATACCCAGACATATAAATAAGTGCAATAAATCTATACTCTATAACATAACTTCAATATTTACAAAAATTTAAATATTTATTTATGAAACTATGGAAAGGCTATCGCTCTGTAGAATATGTTTGGCGGATAATGTTCGCATGTATCTAGTAGCTGACAAAAAGCTGCAGGAACTATATGAAAGACTGACAAATGCTCCAGTAAGTTATAAAATTATGTATCTCTATAATATTTTCCAACACATTATTTATATAGTAAATGATACTGCGGTGGACATCGTGAGGAAACCTGGGCTTACAATTTCTTATTATAAGTTTGAAATCGGTGATTAATGCTCAAACCTTCTCCGTGTGAGAAGAGGCCTTTGGTCAGCAGTGGGCACTTATAGATCTCACACGGATAAAGTTTTTGAGCATTAATCACCACGCTTGCTCAATGCGGGTCGGCTTTTCAAACTTATAATTAGAAATTATAAGTTCAGGTTTCACACTCACCGAAATGTATCCGGTAGAAAACCGAAATTCTTGCAACCTTACGCCTGTGTTCGACGCTTTGAAGCCGGACCTCCAGAAGCGCATCATCGTTGATAAGCCTTTTGGCACGCCCCTCGATGTACTCTAACGCGTCCAGCTGATATTTAGCCGAGCCGTCCTAAATATGAGAGCAGTACTCCATACAGGACCGAACCTGCGGTTGGTACAAGCTAAGCAATTGTTTCGGCGTGAAGTACCGTCTCCGCCCCATAGCATACCCAACTTCCTACCAGCCAGTTGCGCTTTTGACTCTATACAGGAGCCAAAGTTGGGTGTGGGCGTCAGAGTTACGCCAAGAAGCTGAAGATGATCAGTTATCGGAATGGATACATTCCGGATTTTAAAAAAAAATCTCAGTTGTAGCACGGAGTCTGGAACTGTGCACGGTATTTGGCAATAGGCTCACCCTCTATTACATGGGACTCATAACATAAATAGTGAAAAGTGGGTGTCACATTGGCCAGTGGTATAATGTGCACCTCTGCCTAACCCTTCGAGGATAAAAGGCGTGATTATGAACGTATTATGTTATGCATTCCGGAAAGTAGGAGTCAGCTCAAATCCACTCCGTTTCGTGGAGAATAGACACGCCGGGGTTTTGCTAGCGCTGAACTTGACCAAGTTGTCATCACCCCAGTCGGAGACCACCTTCAAGGACTCTATAATAAAAGTAAATTAAAATGTTTCAGTTTGTAACTGAAGATAGCAGACCAATGTTGGCATGTTTCTTCTGCTACGCCAACCTGAAGAAATGTTGGTATTTCATGAGGAAGTGCAGAGAAGCCGAGGAGGTGTTCTATCAGATGCTCAACGGAGATTATGAGGTGAGGATATCTCCTATTCTACATAAATTCCGCGGAGAACCTAACGGGTTACCGGGGCTCCGGCTCGAAGTGCAGGAGTAGGAACGGGGTGGTTTTTAGTCAATAAGAGTCTGACACTCTCTCCTGCCTCACCCAGGCGGGAGAAGTCATTGGATGATTATAACCCTCAAAAAAAAAATTTACGTAAACATAAATAATATATGTCTGTTTGTATATTTGTTACTCTGTCACATTAAACAGCTGATGTTGAAAATATGCATATCTTTTGCGTTGCATAGTAAAAATAATAAGTATTATTCAATTAAATTGGCTGACAGAAGTTTCCTAACACTCATTTACGAACTTAAAAAAAAATTAGACTAGTATTTTTTATTATCTCGTATAAAGTTACAATACTTCGATAAAATGGCGTTAAGTTTAGGAGTGGGCGGTCGTTACGCCACAAAGTGCTAATGTGGCACGTTGTGACGTCACAAGATATTTCAAATTAATATGTCATCGAAAATACTTAATTTTGTGAGAAAAGAAACACACATACACGCAACTATATATAGTTATCATTTTACATTTAAGTATATATTTATTACATAGTATTGCCATTTTTATCTTTTATGTATTATATGTAGTCTGTAAGTTTCATTGATTGTTTAATTTGTTTTTTATTTTTATTGTGCAACTACCACCCATTCCCAGATTCTTTTCTAAAATTCCATCCAAAGGTTGTCTGGAAGAAATCGCCGCGTGTGATAAGACCGCCCATTGTACTTTAATTACTGTTGAAATGTTTACATTTTTTTTCTGTGTGTGCAATAAAGTATATAAAAATAAATAAATAAAGAAACTAAAATATTTGTGTAATGTTTTAAATTAATCTACCAGATGGACATTAAAATAAAATTTAGGAAACTACCCTATTTTGGGAAACCGTGCATTAGAATTATTATTTATCATCTTAGACCTTTTTTTCAGCAAAATCAACCTAAGCTGAAAGCCCTACACTACGGTGGTTACATACGAGCTGCTATACAGCATATAGACACCACTGACTTGGACAACGGAGATATCAAGCAGGAAGCAGACACCCTCAGAGCTGATGTGATGCTGAAGCAAGAGGATGGTATGTTTTTTAATGTTTTAGATAAGTGTCATTCTTCTACACAATTGATATAACGGCGTCAAACTCAAAAGCATTTCTTGCTACCATTGTAGAGGTTCATATTGACATTAAAGCATGGCTTGAAACTAGTCGAGTTCCTCGTCAAATAATTAGGTAGGTACGTGAGTAAACCGAAAAAACATAACAATTAATTTAGTAGATATCTCTCACGCAAGTTATATACATAAACCATAATTTGGTACTTATGAAACGTCAACAAATAATAGTCTGTCAGTCTGTCCGTCAGTGAAGATAGGCGCTCATTCCAAAATGTCGATTCGAGTGGGGAAGAACGAACACGAAACTCCATTCGTTACTCTTTTTAAAAAAGTATGTTTTACAATCTCTCTGATATATATTCAAATATTGTATATATGCGTTTTATTTCGCCCTATGAGTGGCGTTGCTTTCTTAACATTTGATTTAGGGTCCTCCTTGAAGCTTGAAATATGTCGAGAAATCTCTGACACAAAGCTGTTAGAAAAAATTTACCGAATACCGAAAACCTATGTAATTTGTATTTATTTACAGAAGTGTCTCAAGATTTAGACAACACCTTTTCATTATCAGAAGACATGCCTCAGCATTCTGACTCCGAAGACGATTTACCTCTAATGAAATTTAAGACGGAAGCGGAAGAAGATAGAGAAGTTATACCCAAAAGAGAGTGAAGAAGAGAGGTATGCAAAAACATTAAATACTCTCTTTTACTCGCGTCATGTCCTTTTTCATGCAGTTATTTTACTTTATGACTAGCTTTTCCCCGCGGCTTTGCTCGCGTCACAAAAGGATAAGAAGTAGCCTATGTGACATATACCAATACACACAGCGCCATCTATACCAATATTTTTGTTTTCCCCCGGGAATATCAAATTTTTCCGGGTTAAAAAGTACCTTATTATTTAATCCGGACATTAAAATTTACGTCTGCAAAAATTCAAAGCAATCGGATTAGTAGTTACGGCGTGAAAGTGGAACAAACAAACAAACAAACAAACTCACTTTCCCATTTATAATATTAGTAAGGATTCACATCAACAGCCTATAAATAGCCACTGGTGACATAAGGTCTCTTCTCACACGCAGAAGGTTTAAGCGTTAATCACCACTTCCTTTTTTAACCTTCGGGCCACCACGACATATTTTGTGATTGCAAACAACTTAATTATGTGAATCCAAATAAATCAACATCTGCGCGCCTTTCTCGAAGCTTTCTCCCTCATTTTTTATGAAATAGGAGACAAACGGAGTTTAAGTGTGGGAGAGCCATGCTTCGGCACGAATGGGCCGGCTCGACCGAAATGATACCACGGCATCACAGAAAACCGACGTGAAGCAACGCTTGCGTTGTGTTTCGTCATGTGAGTGAGGTTACCGGAGGCCCAATTACCCCTTCCCTAGTCCCCGTCTCCCGAATCCCTGAATCCTCAACAATCCTCAAATTCCCAATTCCCAAAAGGCCGGTAACGCACTTGTAACACTTGTAAAGTGTTGGTGTTTTGAGTATCCATTGGCGGCGCCGATTGCTTACCATCAGGTGATCCGTCTGCTCGTTTACCGGCTTATGCTATAAAAACAACGGCAACGCACCTGTGACACTAGTGTTCCGGGTATAGACACCCGGACACCCGGGCGGCGTCGATCACTTACCATCAGAGGGCATAGCACGAATAAATATCGCATTCGTATCGTAACAGTATTGAGCGAGTTAAGCGTTCTGATTGGTTGGTTCACTTGAGCCGGCCAATCAGAGCCCCGAACGCGCTCGATACTATTACGTTACGAATGCGATAGTTATGTGGTACTCTGGTGACCGTTTACCGGCTTATTCCATAAAATAAATCTTGTTTCAGTGCGCAAACCGGATTGCAGTGAAATTATATTATCAAAAGAGGAACAGATACAGAATCTACAAGCGAGATCTAAATCTACGAACTATATGAATTCTCCATTCAAATGCAGTTATTGTTATAAAGGATTCGTCGATGTCAGGGCTTATGACAACCATAAGATGAAACATGACGTGGTAAGTACATTATTTTACTAACTGCGCCTTCTACTCGGTCCCTAGTGATCGTAGCGTGAGCCATCAGACCACCACGGATGGGGCCCAATGGGGTTGATGCCGATGCCGAACTTATGGCGCCGACTTATAACCTACTAGCTTTTACCAGCGTCTTCGCTCGCGTCACAAAAGGATAAAAAGTAGCCTATGTGACATATACCAATACACACAGCGCCATCTATACCAATAATTTCGTTTTCCCTCGAGAATATCAAATTTTTCCGGGATAAAAAGTATCCTATTATTTAATCCAGACTTCTAACTTCACGTCTGCAAAAATTCAAAGCAATCGGTTTAGTAGTTACGGTGTGAAAGTGGAACAAACAAACAAACAAACAAACATACTCACTTTCCGATTTATAATATTATATAGTAAGGATCAGTGGGTGGGTAACCTATCAGTACTATTAATAGTTATTTTTAGATTTTTAGTTTTTACTTTTTGTTTGTTATTAGTTTTTGGTTTTTTGAATGACATTGATCTTTAAATATTTAATATAACGTCTTTGTGTAATAAACAAAAATGTTACGTTCTAATTGACGTTCATCTATTTCAGCGCAGCGGTCCTCATATATGTGACATCTGTCAGATGAGATACCGTTCCGTTCAACTCCTGCGCACGCACGCCAATAATGCACACGTCAGGATATATAAGTGTAATAAATGTGGATATGTGTCGCATACTGGGTGAGTTATAAACATATATATATAAATGTGTTGCAATCGTTTTTTTTTATATATATATTTGATGGGCCGACGTTGGTCCACTATCTCGCTTGGTGGTGCACGATGACGCGGTCTACGATGGAGCACGTCGTCCCATAAGCAACCTATTCACTCGGGCCTTGAAGACACCCAGGTTATAAATAAAAGAATATAAAAATAGCCTTTATTCTACCGCAAAATCTCATGCTTTCAATTCAATATTATTATTTCTTTAAATTATTACGTTAAATATCGATTAATACCTATATCATTTCAAATTAATTAAATAAAATAAAAATAAAATCAAATAAATTCCCAGTAACTTTACTAATTACTTTGTGGAAGTCGCATCAGTGGCTTAGGCCTCCGTCGGAGGAGAAGGAACGGGGTGGTTTTTAGTCAGTAAGAGTCTGACACTCCTTCCCGCCTCACCCAGACGGGAGCAGACACTCGATGATTTTCCCCCCTTAAAAAAAAGGCCTCCCCCAGTTTTCTCCATTTAACTTTATCTCTTGCTTCCATTACGAAAGTCCCAAACAATCAAACGAGGCAAGCTGAATAAAACCGATTGATAATAATTGCTTACCATCAGGTGATCTGTCTGCTCGTTTGTCACTGGACAAACGAAGCACTTAAAACAGTTCAATAGGGTAGTTGCCACAGTATGAAAATTAAAAATCTAATTAGTCCGTCAGTTAGATAATGAAAAAATATTAGACACGTATTTTTTTATTTTCTCGTATAAAGTTGCAATACTTAGATAAAATGGTGTTAAGTTTAGGAATGGGAGGTCGTTACGTCACAAAGTGCTACATAATGTAGGGCATTGTGACGTCACACGATATTTCAGATTAACATATCGTCGAAAGTATTTAATTTTGTGGGAAAAAATACGTGTCTAATGGTTTAAATTAATCTACCAGACGGACATTAAAATAAAATTTAGGCAACTACCCCATTCTGTAGTCGCGGAGAACCTAACGGGTAACCGGGGCTCCGGCTCGACGTGCAGGAGAAGGAACGGGGTGGTTTTTAGTCAGTAAGAGTCTGACACTCCCTCCCGCCTCACCCGGGCGAGAGCAGTCATTTGATGATTTTCCGCCCTTAAAAAAAAACCCATTCTGTACATCACATGAACAGCCTAAGTAGTCACTGCCGACCAAAGCCCTCTTCTCATACGGAGAAGTTTTAAAGATTAATCACCACGCTTCTTGCTCAATGCGGGTTGGAGATTCTGTACGTACATATTTATATAATTTTAATTTGTCTTATATTTTCAGAAATCAAGCTCGGATTCATGAGAAATGGCATAACGGACACACGTACGAGTGTCAGCTATGCAGTCATACTTTCAGGTAATTTACAGTATTCCTACAAATAGGATATAGTAGTTAACTAAAAATCGCGGGTTACTCACGTGAATATACTGAGAAAAGCTCTACTAGTTTCGAACCACTGAGGGATTCTTCCTCATGAGCAGCGTGTGCGGTCGCGGCGATGTCGCGCAGCCGCTTTTCTCAGTATAACATAACATAACATCACCGAAGTTATTATCCCCGAAGGGGTAGGCAGAGGTGCACATTATGCCACTGTACAATGTAACACACACTTTTCACAATTCATGATATGAGTCCCATGTAATAGGGGGTGAGCTTATTGCCATATACCGGGCACAATTCCAGACTCCGTGCTACTACTGAATTTTTTTTAAAAACCCAGTAATACTTTGCCCGACCCGGGAATCGAACCCGAGACCACTGGCCCGGCAGTCGCACTTGCGACCACTCGGCTAACGAGGCAGTCACGTGAGTAACCCGCGAATTTTAGTAAATTTAGTATGTCCCACGATAGTTATTATAAAAACAGGATAAAGTAGGATAAAAAGTTGCCTATATGTTCTTAATTTTACCTGGAAACTACCCGATTAGTAAGATACAACAAAAATAATTTCATTTTAATCGCACTTTTACTTTCGAAGCTTGGCGTGTGTAAACAGACAAACGATACAAAAGAAAATACATAACATCACGCCTTTTATCCCCGAAGGGGTAGGCAGAGGTGCACATTATACCACTGTACAATATAACACCCACTTTTCACTATTTATGTTATGAGTCCCATGTAATAGGGGGTGAGCCTATTGCCATATACCGGGCACAATTCCAGACTCCGTGCTACTACTGAGATTTTTTTTAAAAACCCAGTAATACTTTGCCCGACCCGGTAATCGAACCCGAGACCCCTTGCCCGGCAGTCGCACTTGCGACCACTCGGCTAACGAGGCAGTCAACAAAAGAAAATATGACGTACATTTTACTAAATCACCTAAAAATCGCGGGTAACTCACGTGAAAATACTGTGGTTCGAAACTAGTAGAGCTTTTCTCAGTATATTCACGTGAGTAACCCGCGATTTTAGTTAATTTAGTATGTATCACGATAGTTATTTAAGTGAAATTTTTACTATTTTATGATATTTTTTTCAGGAAACCGACCTCCTATCTTTCACACATGAGGAAGCGTCACCCTACGGAACATGTCTGCAATATTTGCGGAGACAGCTTCGTCGGCAAACATGGACTGCAGATGCATAAGAAGAAAACACATTTGGATTGCGAAAAGGTAGGACATTTTTTACAACTACCTTTATCAAATCTTTGCTTTCCCTTTTCTCTTCTGCCCTATTTCTGCCTCTTCTTCCCCTCTTCCCTTTCCCTCAGTCCCCTTTCCAATTTTATATCTTTTCCACTGTCCCTCTCACTTTTCAACTGTCCCTCTTACACCCTTTCAACTATTCCTCATTCCCCTTTTCCACTATCCCTCATTTGCCTTTTCCACTGCCTCTTTGACTTTCCACTGTCCCTCTTTCCCTTTTCCACTATCCTTTATTCGCCTTTTCCACTGGCCCTTTGACTTTATACTGTCCCTCATTCACCTTTTCCACTGTCCCTCATTTGCCTTTTCCGCTGCCCTTTTGACTTTTCACTGTCACTCATTCCCCTGCCCTTTTGACTTTCAACTGTCCCTTTGACTTTGAGCTGTCACACATTCACCTTTTCCACTGGCCCTTTGACTTTATACTGTCCCTCATTCACCTTTTCCACTGGCCCTTTGACTTTCAACGGTCCCTCATTCGCCTTTTTCACTATGCCTCATTCGCCTTTTCCACTGTCTCACATTCACCTTTTTCACTGTCCCTTTGACTTTCCACTGTCCCTCATTCACCTTTTCACTGTCCCTTTGACTTTCCACTGTCCCACATTCACCTTTCAACTGTCTCTTTGACTTTAAACTGTCTCTCTGTCACCTTTTCCACTGTCTCTCATTCGCCTTTTCCACTGCGCCTTTGACTTTCCACTGTCTCTCATTTCCCTTTTCCACTGTCCCACATTCTCATTTTCACTGTCCGTTTGACTTTCCACTGTCCCTCATTCACCTTTTCCATTGTTCCTCTCACTTTTTTACTGTTCCTCTTTTACTATTTCAGTATTTCCGTTGTCTCTGTCACCTTTTACGCCTGAGCAGTGGAATTTTTTGAATTCTTTTCTTATTTAACAAAGTGAATATACAGAAGGAAATGAATGTGTGTAACTTTGATAGATTGCGCTCTGCGATGATCACCTTTTACACTATACCGCCTTTATTTTACCACTACCTCTTTTTAACTTTTTCGCTGACACTCTTTCTTCATTCTCCAGACCATCCTGAAGCGATGTTTCTAGTCTTGTTTTCTTTTTATATTTAACAGTATAACAATAAATATCTGTATTTTCAGATGATAGATCCAGATAATCCCGACGATCCAGCCACAGGGAGATTCTGTAAAGAGTGCAATATACAGTTCTATAACTTGGACGCTTGGAAACGACATATTTTGAGCTCTATCAAACATACGCTGAAGACTGAAGAAAGGTGAGATTTTCAAAAATAATCATATGTAGACAAGTAATATTTTTTACTACCTATACGTGCGAATTCATCCGCGTGGAAAAGTATTCCTTAGTACGTCGGCTACCAATAAAAGTCCAGTCAAAATCGGTCTAGCCATATTAGAGATTAACATAATATCACGCCTTTTATCCCCGAAGGGGTAGGCAGAGGTCCACATTATGCCACTGTACAATGTAACACCCACTTTTCACTATTTATGTTATAAGTCCCATGTAATAGGGGGTGAGCCTATTGCCATATACCGGGCACAATTCCAGACTCCGTGCTACTACTGAGGTTTTTTTTTAAAAACCCAGTAATACTTTGACCGACCGAATCGAACTCGAGACCCCTTGCCCGGCAGTCGCACTTGCGACCACTCGGCCAACGAGGCACTCTTATTGCATAGTTTGCTAATAGAATCTTATAATCTATGTTTACAGCTCAAACTGCTCAATCTGTCAATGGAAGTATACGGGTAACTTGACTTTGGAGACTCATATGAAGGATCATGCGAAGGCAATGAGGAGGGCGCGCATACCTCCTACTGGGAGTAAGGAGAGAAATTTTAGATGTCAACAGGTATTGTACATACATACATACATACATACATACATAACATTACACATAGCCTGACACTCCCTTCCGCCTCACGCAGGCTGGAGAAGTCATTCCATGATTTTAAAAAATATAAGCCATTCGATGATTTTCCACCCTTAAAAAATAAATAGTCTCGGACTGTCCCCACGGGAGACAGGTGTAAGGTTGTAACAGAACATCGCGCCTTTTATTCCCGAAGGGGTAAACAGAGGTGCACATTATGCCACTGTACAATGTAACACCCACTTTTCACTATTTATGTCATGAGTCCCATGTAATAGGGGGTGAGTCTATTGCCATATACCGGGCACAATTCCAGACTCCCTGCTATTACTGAGATTTTTAAAAAACCCAGTAGTACTTTGCCCTACCCGGGAATCGAACCCGAGACCCCATGCTCGGCAGTCGCACTTGCGACCACTCGGCTAATGAGGCAGTCATCTATAGTAGTGATGTAACGAATATTCGCATTAGCATCCGCAATCGCGAATGTTCAAAAAATTTTGTTACATCACTAATCCATAGACTAAATGATATCTAGAGACTATGTAAAGTAAAAAATTTCTATGCTTCGTACAAATTCAAAGTTTAAAATTCTAATATTATTCAGACACCACTGACAAACGGTGAAGGAAAACATCGTGAGGAAACCTGGGCTTATAATTTCTAATTATAAGTTTGAAATCGTCAACCCGCATTGAGCAAGCGTAGTGATTAATGCTCAAACCTCCGTGTGAGAAGAGGCTTTGTTCAGCAGTGGTCATTTATAGGCTGTTGATCAATGAAATTCAAAGTTTATTTTACTAAATTAACTGAAACTCGCGGGTTACTCAACCGAATATACTGAGAAAAGCTCTACTAGTTTCGAACCACAGAGGGGTTCTTCCTCATGAGCAGCGTGCGCGGTCGCGGCGACGTCGCGCAGCTCACTATGGTTCGAAACTATAGTCAGAATTTTAATTAGATTCCAGATTTGACAATAGCTACTGTCATTTTGTGAAATAATGATACCACATATAATAGTGTAGTGATGCACACAAAAATCGATAAACAATCAGTGTGTGTGTGTGTTTTATTATAAATGTTACAGAAAGTGACAGGATAGCGATAGCGATGACGGCGACAATTTATAAAATAACTTATTACCATAATACATCTATCTGTTTTATTTGTCATGTTCCTTCATGATTACATTTTTTATTTATTTCACACACAATTATAAAAGAAAAGTCTCAGATCGTTAATTAATCGTCAAAACTAAATTATCGGTTCAGAAATATTTAATTTCCTGATATACTTAGTTACTAGAGTAAAATTATAAACGAGAAGAATCGAATCGAAGAATCGGAAGAATCCAGAAATATTCCATTTCCATATCGAATAATTTCGCAACGTCACTATTTAGTACTTGTCATAACGTTGCAACACTGAAATTGTCAAAACTGGAATCGAATTAAAATTCCGAGTATAGTAGAGCTTTTCTCAGTATATTCACGTGAGTAACCCGCGAGTTTTAGTTAATTTAGTATGTTTAACGATAGTTATTTTTTTACTAATTTTATTCCAGTGTGGTTCAAATTTCGTGACGCGCTCGAAGCTACAGAGCCATATAAACAGGACTCATTTGGGACTTAAATACAATAAGAATATCGTATGCGAAGTATGTGGAAAGAAATGTACGGTGAGTCTAATTACCTCTATATTGTGTATTTTATTCTAACTGGTAGGCCAAGCCTTTCGGTCTTTTTTTAAAGCTCACTGTAGGCTTCGCGACGTCGCCGCGAGCTGAGAATGGGAAGAACCCCTCTGTGGTTTTATATGGCGGTGGAATTTTTAAAATTTTTTTTTTTTTTTTATAATTGATGGGGCGACGTTTGACCACTATCTCACCTGATGGTAAGCGATGATGCGGTCTACGTTGGAGCACGTCGTCCCATAAGCAACCTATTCACTCGGGCCTTGAAGACTCCCAGGTTATACCCTTCAGGAAATACAGACTCTGGCAAAGAATTCCACTCTTTAGCAGTACGCACAAGGAAGCTTGAAGCGAAGCGCTTCGTGCGTGTGGGCGGGACATCTACCATGAATCGGTGACGCTTCGCGGATTGTCTTGTGGTACGATGATGGAAAGGACTAGGGGGAATCAAGTTGTGCAATTCCCCCGCACACCTTTTCCTTTCTTATTTAACAAAGTGAATATACAGACGGAATTAAATGTTTGTAGCTTTGATAGATTGCGCTCTCCGATGATGAATCAGTCAGTCAGTCAGGACATATTATTACAAAAGGTCTTTAAAATGTGGTGACTTAGTCAGAATTTATTAATTTTTCTTATATTTTTTTTTAATCTTGTGTAATACTTGTTCACACCATATTAATTAATTTATTCAAAATCCTAAACGTTAGGACTTGTCATTGGCTCATTGATACCTACGCCTATTGTTATTTTTAATCATTTATATAAGATGTAAGTCCTCCAAGAATTAAAAAGTAATTTGTTTAAGTATTTCTCTTAGGTAATTTAAGAAAAATAAATAAGTATAATGGTTGAAATAAGTTATGGTGTCACAATTAGCCATCCCAAATGATAATTAATGTCTATTTCGTTTGCTAACCCCGAAATGTAACCCATACATTTTAACACTCCCAATCAAGGACGTTGAAGGAAAGGCGGACACAGTCTCTTGAAACAACAACTGTGGCACCTGGCTACTGTACACTTACACGTAGAATACATACACACATTGACACGAAGGACATCTGTCGTTTACTTAATAACATACATGACATCACGCCTTTTATTCTTGAAGGGATAGGCAGAGGTGCACATTATGCCACTGTACAATGTAACACCCACTTTTCACCATTTATGTTATGAGTCCCGTGTAATAGGGGGTGAGCTTTTTGCCATCTACTGGGCACAATTCCAGACTCCGTGCTTCTACTGAGAATCTCTCAAAACACCCAGTAATACTTTGCCCGACCCGGGAATCGAACCCTTTGATGAAGCCTTATTGAAGCACCGAATTGTCAGTGGCTTTTGTGTATATCTTTTGGGTATATCATGTTACCAGACTTAAGTAAACGACTGCCTCGTTGGCCGAGTGGTCGCAAGTGTCCCCAAGGCGAGACCCCTTGCCCGGCAATTCGGTGCTTCAATAATCCTTGGTCCCAATAAACAAAGCTAATGTCTATAGAAACTAATTATTGCATTTTTCACAGTCAAACGCAACGCTCAAATATCACCAGCGGACGCACACTGGCGAGAAACCGTACTCCTGCGCGTCATGCTCAAAGCATTTCGTAGATAGTAACCAACTCCGCATACACACACGGACACATACCGGCGAGAAACCATATGTATGCGCCGTTTGTGGGAAGCGGTTCAGTCAGAAACCGGCTTTAAATCGACACTATAGGGTAGGTTTTTGATTGACATTGACACAATACCTAGTAAAATTTAGTGCTAAAATAAAGGAATGAAAAAGATGATGATTCTTAAAAAATACTTATTAAGGCAATGTTTTTCAATACAACATACAAATATTTAAGCACAAAATAATGTTATTGTATTTTCTAAAGGAAAATCGCAGAAGGCGATCAATAGTACCAGAAAAAAAAAATACAAAATTCGCCTAATCGCCATTTAATTTTGGCGCTAAAATAACAAGTCAAACTAGTGCAGTTTGTTAGTAAGGTACCAATCCATTTCACCTAATCTAACCTAACCTAATAATCGACTAAAACCATTTTTTGACAGGTACACACTGGCGCGAAACCCTACACCTGTCAATATTGCTCTCGGACATTCAGCCAATCAAATTCGTTAAAACTTCACGTCAAAACTGTACATTTAAAACAGCCGGCGAACAGAAAGAGTAAAACTAAGACATTTTTTGAAACGAAAATTGAGAAGAACACTGAAAATCATGAAAATTCAGAAGAATTACAGATTGATGGGAGTTTGCAGGCAATACGAGTTTTTACACGATGATTGCAAAGTGGAAGTGATATTCTTATATATTTTTATTGTAATAATCGATTGTAATTCCGCTTAATAAATTATTATAGGCTAATTTATTAATTTATTTATCTTCTCAACAATGTAATACATAACTGCTTCCATTCTCTACTAGCTTTTAATTAAAATGAATTTTAATTATTATTTTGTATCCTTTCACAAATATTGTAATAACAATGATTATTTTTGTTCTCTGCGTAAATTGAGATTATACGCCATTACTGTGTACATTGTTTTATTTCTCGGCATCTCTGGTCTGGTATAACAAAAACTTCATTCCCTGGTATAACAGAAACTGGAAATATCCAATGTTATAAGTTAAACGACGCTAGCGCCTTTTTTGACGGTTGTTAAACTATAATAAGGAATATAAAGAAGCACCAGGTGAAAGCTAATTGTTTTATAAATGCTACTTAATATAATATAGTAAAGTATAATAATATGAGGAATATGGGGCAGGCGTTTGTCCAGCAGTGAACATCTTCTGGCTATTGATGATGATGATAATAATGTAGTACCTTTTTAATATAATAAACTGAAATACTAAACGTTCTACTATATTTGTGTTCGGTGGTCGAATCAAGTCATTATTTAATTTGACTACAATAATCGTTTTCAATTAGTTAAATTAAAGTTAAATCTTATCAAGGTACTTAGATATTATATTTTAGGCAACATTTAATAATTTGCATCATTTATTTGTAAATTAATCAATCCGAAAATAAATCCAACTCAAGCGAAAATCGACTAAAATTTTTAGTAATATCATCGACACTCAACACTAGCGATTAACAAATGTCACTCAAATAGTCAAAATCCAATCAAAGCAATTTAAAAAAAAAGTTGTGTAAACGATCTTATTATTATTGTTTTGCTACGAATTATTTGTTTTATTACGTGAACTACATACAAAATGTGTACAAAATAAGTAAATTACGATCAATAGAACTTCCATTAACACGTCTAGTTAGTCAAAACACAATAAAATTGTGAATTTACGGTGATGTAAACAGATTTATAAACAGTGTAGTTCCACAACAAAAATTTTAATCGGTTGAAATGTTACCGATTTTGATGTATAATAATATGGAAGGGAGTTCTAATTCGTTAAATAATACGCCTAATACTAGTTTTAATCAGTACGATGATAGTATTATTTTGAATTGTGTTAGAAATCGTAAGAAAGTTACGGAATTGCCGAGTTGTCCGGTCTGTAGTTGCACTATCAGACAAGGAGAGTTGGATTCTCATTTAAGTTTGGAGGTGGAGAGATTGCAGAAATTGTCAGGAAGTGGGTCTAAGGAAGCTTAGTGTGAATTCTAGTGCTAATCTAGCTGTGCCTGGATCAAGCACCAGCCAAGATGTTGTAGAAGATGAAGTGGACGTCTCAGGCTGTTTGGGTAGCGATGTTTACCAAGTAAGTTTTTTCTTAAAAAAAAAATATTTCCCGCCCTTTCGATTTTTTTATCTGTTTTGTCAATAAATATTTTTATTGTTATTTTCGATAACTAATGAACATGGTATAAGTTTGTGTGCCTGATTAAAATAATGTAGATAAATAGTATCTTACATAACTAATTTAACATATTTTCTTTATCTCTACTTTATCTAAAGTTTTTTCAATTCGAGTTCAATGCACTAAGTAAACAAATAATGTACACTATACCTAGAGATAATACGTAAAAAATTATTACATAAAGACTTCTTTTATGCATAAAGCCAATATTAACCCATGCAACTTGTATTGAAAGCAAAATGAGTTTATAATGTATTTCTGTGTTTTATATGTAAAACAAATAATGTAATAGCTTTTACCAGCCTAATACTTGGATACTAAAAGACTAACATTAAAATGGGGTGAATAGGGATCGAGACAGACAGAAGAAGGGTGAATCAATACTATGAAGAATTTCCCAATATCTAATCACCCCTCTTATGTCTCTATTCACCTCTCGATCCTTATTTTACAGTACTTAATTTTAAGTCACACTTAAGTATAGTTCTGGCACTACATGTTATTTAATTAATTCTATTCTGTCAGCTTGAACATTTGTGCTGACTACCCAAATGTTCTTTTGGTTGTTATTGTTAGTCCGATCATTCAGCAACATCTGTTACTTAAGCTAATTGGAAACTAACACATGTGTGCGGCCATCATAACAGGTCCGCTCAAACTGTTGTGGATCCAGACTCAACTTGCATGGCTCTCGCACATTGTAGCTATATTTTGTATGGACTTTAAATTTATTTTTGTATCTACTGTTCATCCTGGCTACTAGAGATGTGGCACACTTGTCCCATTAAAAAAATACATGTGTTGCTATTGTGAAGATGAGTGTTTATCTATGTGTAGGAGTTTAGGGGTAAAAACGATTGATAAAAAGTATTTCTAAGAGTAATGATGAAGATTCTTGACTTAATTGGTATGATCAGTTTGATTTTGAATAATAATTGGTATAAAAATCTCAGTGGCCTTAGTATGAAGCCTTGGTGGGGCCCCATATAAAATATGTTTAGGAACCTTGAGGGCCCTCCAAACAATTGGGAACTTTCCTTAATCAAAAATCAATTATTTCGCCTGTTAAATACAAAAAACATTTAGTTTAGTTATTTAGTTTTGTAAAACAAGTATGCTGTTTGACACTAAAAAAGTGATGTCATAATACACATGTGAATCTGTAAGTGGCTCAATGCTACTATTTTTCTGCTAAATCTGTGTAATGTAGCTATTCATTCACCATTTAATGAATGAATAAATAAATAAATATATGTACTATATCTTTAAAAATTCATAGAAAACTGTTGTTTTTGACACTTCAAGTACTAATTGGCAAGTACCCAATCCTTACTAATATTATAAATCGGAAAGTGAGTTTGTTTGTTTGTTTGTTCCACTTTAACGCCGTAACTACTAAACCGATTTCTCACCTTTTTTCCAATATGAATTTTGAAAGAGTAAATTCATAACATAACATAACATCACGCCTTTTATCCTCAAAGGGGTAGTATTGCACCCGTGCGAAGTCGGGGCGGGTCGCTAGTTTAAAATAAGTTATAAATGTACTAGAATATTTTTCCTCAATCTTCCAGCGGGTACACTCCAACCGTCTCCGGCGTCTGCGAGCCCGCCGCAGAAGTACCCCGCCCCCTCAACACGGAGAATGCCCAGTATGTAACACCACGCTACCGGTGTCCAGGCTACAGAGGCATGCACTCCGATGTCTGAAGCGGACGGGAGCGGAGTTAGATGAAGATGTACCGGATACCAGCTCTGAAGAGGGCAGCATTGATGTTGAGGTATGTGTGAATATTTCTACGTTTTTTTTATGGCATAAGCCGGTAAACGAGCAAACGGATAATGGTAAGCAATCGGCGTCGCCCATGGACACGTGAAACACCAGAGGCTTTACAAGTGCGCTACCGGCCTTTTGGGGATTACGAGTTTGCGGTTCGTTCAGGATTCAGGAATTGGGGAGATTGGGGAAGGGGAGGGTAATTGGGCCTCCGGTAACCTCACTCACACGACGAAACACAACGCAAGCGTTGCTTCACGTCGGTTTTCTACTCGGCCGTGGTATCACTCCGGTCGAGCTGGCCCATTCGTGCCGAAGCATGGCTCTCCCACATTTAAAACCTTGCGCTACATTTTGATTTTCTCCTGTGTGCTCCCATAATATAGGCTCGCTGCCATTGCAGCGGTAACCGCCGTGCCCTCAGGGATGTGATCTCGCGTCCGGCCCTAGTACGGGTCATGATGCGGAGCGAGTGGGACTGGGATGCCGTCTCCTCCTTTTGCGAAGCAGTCATGCTAGCTAAGGAGGAGACGGGACGCGTGAGGCAGCGAAGGACACTCCGGGCGTCGGGGATAGCGAGACGATCTCCGACCACCGTAGCTCGCTGCCCGACCAGAACCAGACCCGAGCGTACGGCGCGTCCCGTTGCATGCGCGCCTCAAAGAGCCATCAGACCACCACAGATGGGATCCAATAGGGCTGATGCCGATACGGAGACGCGGAGGACTTAACGGGTTGCCGGGGCTCCGGCTCCAAGTGCAGGAGTAGGAACGGGGTGGTTTTTAGTCAGTAAAAGTCGGACATTCCCTCCCGCCTCACTGGGAGAAGTCATTCGATGATTTTCCCCCCTTAAAAAAGAAAAGAGCTTCCTAACTACATAATTCTGGTCGTTATTGGTAGGTAGGTATATTCTGCCCATTATCCTTTGTTTCGTATTTGTCCAGTTGAAAACTATTAATTTAACACAAAAATATGTACACCATTACAGAATGACGAACCATCGGGCGGTGGCTTCGGGGCGGAGTACCAGTGGTGTGGGGAATGGAGAGTGAGGGCCACAGCGCTTCAGGACTCTGAGGCAAGAGACGCTACTTGTGTCCGGAGAGCTTCTAACGACCAAGCTTTGGTGAGCATACTTCATTACAATGTGAATAAGTCACATAACATAACATCACGCCTTTTATCCCCGAAGAGGTAGGCAGAGGTGTTGTGAGCATACTTCATTACAATGTAAATAAGTTACGTAACATAACATCACGCCTTGAAGAGGTAGGCAGAGGTGCACATTACGGCACTTAATGCCACTGTACAATGTAACACCCAGGTTTCACTATTTATGTTATGCATCCCATGTAATAGCGGGTGAGACTATTGCCATATACCGGGCATACTTCCAGACTCCGTGCTACTACTGAAAAACCCAGTAATAGGTACTTTGCCAGACCTGGGCATCGAACCCGAGAACCTTGCCCGGCAGTCGCACTTGCGACCACTCGTCCAACGAGGCAGTCCAATGTAGTTGTTAAATGTTTAATAAATAGAGTGATTCAAGAGGAAGGTTTCCCGTGCGGTTTTACTTGTTCTAACATAACACAATATCATGCCTTTTATCCTCGAAGGGGTAGGCAGAGGTGCACATTATACCACGGTACAATGTAACACCCATTTTTGACTATTTATGTTATGAGTCCCATGTAATAGGGGGTGAGCCTATTGCCATATACCGGGCACAGTTCTAGACTCCGTGCTACTACTGAGATTTTTTTTAAAACCCAGTAATACTTTGCCCGACCCGGGAATCGAACCCGAGACCCCTTACCCGGCAGTAGCAATCGCGATAACTCGGACAACGACGCAGTCTTTTTTTAAGCAACGAGTTTACTTGCTCTACTCGGCTCCTATTGATAGTAATGTTCTGCTCGGTTACTATTGGTCTTAGCGTGATGTTTTATAGCCTTCATCTATAAATGGACTATCAAACACAAAAAGTAAATGCGTAAGTAATTTCATATTAATGTGCATAAACACGCGTGCGTACGCATAAACACATGCACGCGTACGCACACGGATACAAATATGCGTGTGTGTGTGTGGGTATAAGCGCTGCAGCGCAATCGATAGTAGTCTTAGTCACTGCAGGGTGACACCTGAAAACCAGCGTTGGGCAAGAACGCTCAACTATATGCTGAGGTGGAGGCCCTTTTGGCATGTGCACGCGCACTTTATTATTATTTTTATATCTATTTTTTTAGTTTTTAGTTTTTTTAGTTTCGGTTATTAATCTAATTATATTTTGTTATGCTTTAATGATTTTTGTTCATTTCTTTTCTCTTTTATAAAATCTATTATTAATGTTTTGTTTTTATTTTGACTGTATTTTTTATTTCTATTGTAATGATCCTTGTTTTCGTGTGCCAATGGCCAAATAAATGCATCTTTCTTTCTTTCTTACGGTGGCAGTGGACTTTTGATCTTTGACCGTACATGTGTTGGCACAGATACGTAACACGCGTTGAAACAAACACTTACATATATCATTAATATAGATTGTTAATATCTGTGTATTGTATAATGTTTCAGGTAGTAGATGGCGATGAAGATACGGAATTATACGGTCCCCCGCAATACTCGCCGTCGAGGATAGCTCCCGATGTATGTATCTACATTCTACAATTCGTATATTGTTCATTTTTATGTTTTTGTCGTAACTGTCAAACACCGCGAGGACACCGGTGACCGCAACCTATTGTTCTTTAATTGTGTCTATAGTGACGGTACTCAAAGGGCTCACGTATTTGTTTATCGAGGTACTCGAAAATATGAGCCTCGATCATGGCTTGAAACTAGTCGAGTTCCTCTTCAAACACTTTTTTTTATGGTATAAGCCGGTAAACGAGCAGACGGATCACCTGATGGTAAGCAATCGGTGTCGCCCATGGACACCTGGAACACCGGAGGCGTTATAAAGGAGGAGGAGGCGGATAATAAAAATGAATAATAAGTTTATTATATCAATTTTCAGGCAGATCTGTCAACAGATGTAGCTATAGATGAACAGACGGACGAGCAAACGGAAGCGGCAGAGAGTTCGGCGAGCGACCGACCAGTGGCGGCACCTAGTAGCAAATGTAATGGACTAGTTGAGGCAAGCGCTGAAGTAAGTGTCCTACTTTTTTTTATCTTTAAAAAAACGCTTTGCCCCACAGTAGGATTTTCTCCTGTGTCGTGTGTGCGTTTACAAACATACAAGTTCACATACATACGAAACAACAACCTGGGGATCACACAAAGAGTTGTTCCGTGCGGGAATCGAACCCGCGACACGTTGCACGGCAGCCAGTTGCCCAACCATCGCGCCAACCCCGCAGTCAATTACTTTATTATTTACTATCTCTGGCCACCGTAAGCGCGGGCCTGCGGACGGCGAGCATGGGTGGCTCCCCGTCCGACCAGAAACAGACCCGAGCGTACGGCGCCGAGCGTTCCGCGCGCGCCTCAAAGAGCCATCAGACCACTACAGATGGGGCCCAATAGGGCCGATGCCGATTCGGAGTCGCGGAGAACCTAACGGGTAACCGGGGCTCCGGCTCGACGTGCAGGAGAAGGAACGGGGTGGTTTTTAGTCAGTAAGAGTCTGACACTCCCTTCCGCCTCACCCAGGGGGGAGCAGTCATTCGATGATTTTCCTCCTTCAAAAAAAGGGTCCTATTATTTTTGTATGGTATAAAGCGGCAAAGATGCAGACCGGTCACCTGATGGTAAGCAATCAGTGCTGCTCAAGGACACCCGATAGCAATCATTTATAATTTACGTCACACGAATTTCTTGATTTTTCCCCTCCGCCGTCTGCTTTTTCCGAGTTATATGTACTCTCTAAGATTATTCAGACACCACTGACAAACGGTGAAGGAAAACATCGTGATAAGTTTAAAACCGCCAACCCGCATTGAGCAAGCGTGGTGATTAATGCTCAAACCTTCTCCGTGTGAGAAGAGGCCTTTGGTTAGCAGTGGCATTTATAGGCTGTTGATGATGATGATGATGATTGCCTCATTGGCCGAGTGGTCGCAAGTGTGACTACCAGGCCAGGAGTCTCGGGTTCGATTCTCGGGTCGAGCAAAGTATTACTGGGTTTTTTCAAAAAATCTCAGTAGTAAGCACGGAGTCTGGAACATTGCCCGGTATATGGCAATAGTGTGTAGTAGTGAAAAGTGGGTGTTACATTGTATAATTAGCTACTTCCGTACAATTGCACTCGCTCTGGTCGGCTCTTTTTCACCGCAGCGAGATGTTTTATAGCCTATAACCTTCCTCGATAAAGTGGGTGTTACATTGTACAGTTGCATTAAGTGCCGTAATGTGTACCTCTGTTTACCCCTTCGGGTTATGTGATGATGATGATAATACATTACAATCCTTTTTTCTATTTTCAGACTAGAATTCAGGCGTTGAAAGCGAGAATAAAAGACTTGGAACGAAAAGCGAACGGCGGTGGAGAGGTAATTATAATTTTTATTGTTATCTAACTAACATTATAAATGCGAATGTTTGTGTGTATGTTTGTGACTCAATCACGTCAAAAGGGATTGGCGTGGAATTTGGAACAAGGGTAGATTATCCTTTTGAGCGCCGATGTCACATATAAGTGACAAGTGAAAACTGTCCCTGGACGCCAACGACACAAATACATGACAGAAAAAGCGGAACCGGAAACACGAAATCAACAATTTGATTCCCAATTGGAATCCCTATTTCTTCCGTAGAAATTTGCGCGGAATTTGTGGCTTGGCGTTGAGGGCAGGTTCATGTGTTTTTGCTCTGGCGTTCAAAAGGTTATGGTTTGGGATAACACATAGGGTATTTTATATCCCACGGTAATGTGAGCGAAGCCGTGTGCGGAAGCTAGTACTTATATATCTTACTAGCTTTATTACCCGCGGCTTCGCTCGCGTCACAAAAGGATAAAAGTAGCCAATGTGACATATACCAATACACACAGCGCCATCTATACCAATACTTTTGCTTTCCCTCGGGAATATCAAATTTTTCCGGGTTAAAAAGTACCCTATTATTTAATCAAGACTTCTAACTTTACGTCTGCAAAATTTCAAATCAATCGGTTTAGTAGTTACGGCCTGAAAGCGGAACAAACAAACTCACTTTCAGATTTATAATATTAGTAAGGTTACGCGCGGAGCCGGTATGGCGCCGCGGAGAACCTAACGGGTTACCAAAGCTCTGGCTCGAAGTGCAGGAGTAGGAACGGGGTGGTTTTTAGTCAGTAAGAGTCTGACACTCCCTCCCGCCTCAGTCGGGCGGGAGAAGTCATTCGATGATTTTCCCCCCTTTATAAAAAAATACGTGGTGCCCGAAAACAGTGGACAGGTAGCCGCGAGAGCGCATAGCCGCTATTCCTAATTTAATTTAATTGTTTCGTCAGGTGTAGCTTATTATACGGTCCTTGTGGAATCGAGAACAAATTTCCGTGCGTTTAGGCGCTTTTGCCATACCTATTACGGACCAAGACAGTTATTCATGTCCCTGGGACGCGCCGGACTTCAATGTTCCGGTGTTTTCTTGGTTGTATCTACTGTAGATCCTGGTGCACAGGAGTTGCTGTCTAGGCTAAAACGTCATTTCTACGTATAAAATGTACATAGAAGTGACGTCACGCGACATTTCAAATCAATATATCGTCGAAAGTATTCGTTTCTGTAAGAAAATAAAAAATACGTGTCTAATGATTTAAAATAATCTACCAAGTGAAATAAGTGAATTTATTTCTGCAAATAGGCTACAAGGTAGCACTTTTACACGTCAATTTTATTTTAAACTCTGAGAAGAAATGCCGAAACAAACTCAGAGGTCTGTCTCTTTTAAAGTCCAGACAATATGTATAATAGATTATGAACCGTGCAAGTTCTTTCTGTAGTGGCCTTTTGAGGAAAGAACCACAACAGTTTGAGCGGACCCGTTCTGAAGGCAGTACGCATGTGTCGGTTTACAATCAGCTCAATAAACAGATGAGGCTGACTGACATTAAAATGACCAGACGGACATTAAAATAAAAATTAGGCATCTACCCTATTCTCTTTGTGTTAGGAGTGTATTTATCGAGGAAGGCTATAAAACATCAGTCTGGGCTTATGTAGTTCGCGAACGAACTAGTTCAAAAGAGCGCTCCCACATTCAAAATATGCGAACTAGTTCACGTCATTCCCAACTCCTTAGTTCCTTAGTTCGTATTTCAAAGTACAATTACAAGGATTGTGAAGTCGTTTATATGTATAGTCTATGGTGAAGACCGAACTAAAAAATGCGATAACATATGATCTCACTTAAAAACTATTATCTACTTGTAAGTGGTAGGTATTAAATTAATAAGCATAAACTTGCATCAAAACTAGGGAGCGATTTGGCTGCCAGTGCCTTCCTAGTTCCTATGCGATTCATTCCAATTCCAAATCCAACTGGGAGTCGGGAGCTGACGAACTAAAAAAGCGAACTAGTTCGTTTAGGAGCGGCGAACTGAGGCCTTAGTACGAGTTTGTTTTACGTTTAAAGTAATCGTAACGAGTACGCGTTCGGTGCTGTGATTGGTTGCTTTATTGGTGCCGGCCAATCAGAGTGCTGAACGCATACTCGTTTCGAATACTTTAAAAGTAAATCAAACTTGTACTAAGGCCTCAGATCTGAGTGATCTTAGTCACGACCAGTAGGAGCCGAGCAAAGCGGGCGAAACCGCGCGGCAGAAGTTAGCTGTATTTATAAAACTCAGCAACCTTACAGTCGCGAGTTTTATTGTAAAAAATACAGTTATGTTATCATATATTAAAGGAATGGATGCCGTTATATTAACGACCCAATTATTTTTTATCTAATGTTCAATGCCGATCGCGCCCTAACCAAACGCTTGTAACGAAACCATAGCGCGATTCAGGAAAACTAGATAATTGTACAACGCCATCTATCGAGCGTGGTGACAACTCGGGCTGTACGGAATTTTTCAGTAAAATTAAATTATACACACACGCAACTTTGGATCTTTTTTTATGGCATAAGCCGGTGTACTAGCAGACGGATTACCTGATGGTAAGCAATCAGCGTCGCCCATGGACACCTGAAACACCAGAGGCGTTACAAGTGCGTCACCGGTTTTTTAATTGGGAGATTAGGAGTTTGAGGATCATTGGGGAAGGGGAGGGTAATTTGGCCTCCGGTAACCTAACTCACACGACGAAACACAACGCAAGCGTTGCTTCACGTCGGATTTCTGCTCGGCCGTGGTATCACTCCGGTCGAGCCGGCCCATTCGTGCCGAAGCATGGCTCTCCCATACTTAACTCGTCGAGTACCGGTTTTATAGACACAATTAAAGAACAATAGGTCGCGGTCACCGGTGACCGCTTGGTGTTTGACAGTTTAATAATGGATCTATGGAGATTTCTTGTTAGAACAATGAACAATCTCGTATGAGGGTTGTAGAACTGATTATTTATGTGCCATTAGCGACCCGCAACATTGCAATATGCATGTATAATACATATAAACCTTCCTTAACGCATTCACTGCCCAGTGGATTTTCTCCAGTGCCCGAATTATAAGACATTCTACAGTGCCCCGCACGCACTATTGCGTTCAATGTTTGCCCTTTTCGTGTGCCGGAAACTCATATACGCGTTCTTACGGCTCTCACCGTGTGCCCGAAACTCGTATATGCGTCCGTTCGACTCTCGGCGGGTGCCCGCGACGCGTCTGTGCGTTTGTTATATACTTACAGAAATACGATAGAATATTATGTATCTGTAGATAAAAGTTAGGGTGATGACACACTGCAATGGAATTTATGATTCCAAAAGATTATTTATGTAGAGAAATTGAAAAATTTATCCAATCTTTCAGACTTCAAAAAATTTAGTTTCTTAGTTTTGTTTGTACGCGATTGTCTCGCGATTGATTGAACCGATTTTAATGACGTTTTTAGAAAAGCTTTTGTTATACTTAGGGAAAAGGTATATTAATAAGTTTAGGTTTCTTGGAAAAACAATTAGGTATCTAGGTAGATTTTGGTTTTAGCTCTCTTGGTATTTAAAATCTTCAAAGGCACCGCCGTGCATTGTATTGCCGTTATCAGCAAACTAATGTGATTCTATTGTGCGTATGTAGGTACGAGTCATATTAAAGTTTAGGTTTCTTGGAAAAAGATGAGATAATCGAGATAACATTGAAAAAAAAATACCACCCACGGTGATCGTAGTCTTACGTGGATAAAAAAGATAAATTATATTTTTTCTAAATTGTTCTATATTTATATTTCGAAACGGCTAAACAAAATTTGTTGATTATTGCATTGGTAGTAGTAGAATAAGTTTTTTTATAATTCGTATGTAGTGTGTAATGACCTTTATCAAAGAAATCAGATAAGGAAGTACATATGTGTAAATATGGGTTTCGAAACAATAGACCCTCGGACGCGTCGACGGGCAGCAGGTAAAAAAAGGGTCAAATGAATAGAACGCATATTTGAGTCCCGGGCACATAGCGTCGTGTCACAAAACGCACAGACGCGTCATGGGCACTGAATGCGTTAAGAATCACTCTGTCTATTAAAAAAACCGCATCAAAATCCGTTGCGTAGTTTTAAAAATCTAAGCATACATAGGGACAGACAGACGGCGGATGGCTACTTTGTTTTATACTATGTAGTGATTGTGTAATCATGTTTTGTCGAACAAACAGATAGGCGGCAATGAATAATTATTAAAATATTTTACTTTAAGGGCCAATTTTTCAATGCTCTTATAAATTTTAACTGAGGAATAACTGAATATGTAGCGACACAATTACACGTCACATGTTAACGGATGACGTCATTAAAATACTACATCGCACATGTAAAGTTTACATGCGAATTAACACGGATAGAAAATCCTAATGAACAATCACCTCGCCAGGGGGCTTACTCTTGAATCCAATTCCGATCGATCGACATTGATATTGTATCGTACTCTTGAGTTGCAACACTAGCGCCCATTGCATCCGTATTGCGTGGATATTGAATGAACTAAATGGTATTGAGTTTGTCTTTATATTCCGTACTCTGAATGCTATTGTAACAGCTACGATTGTGGTTGTATAGTGTTGACATTGAATTATTATTGAGATTTTATTGGATTGATATTGCATTGACATTAGTTTCAAGAGTAAGCGCCTGGTCGGAGGATCCGCCTTTTTCGATCTTAGGGAACTACCTATATTCTCTGTTCCCTAAAAATACTTGATATTTCTTCCATTGTAAAAACTTTTAACTGACAATTTTATTCTATGTAAATTATACTGATGATTGAAGAACCGGTCGTTACTGTGTTGAGTTTTTATAATAACTAGGTATCGGGAGACATCATACTGAATTAACTAAAAATGACGGTTTACCTACATAAATATACTGAGAAAAGCTCTACTAGTTTTCGAGTCACAGAAGGGACTTATTTTATTTATTTATTTGTCTCAGGCATCTTAGCCCATAGTGAAATATACAATACAAATAATTCAGGTTGCAAATACTATACATATACATAATATTTAATTTTACTGCTTATTTTCAAAGTCAAAGTATTTATTCGTGTGCTTTTTGGTGATACAAAAGGGTCATAAAACTATTATTATAGTAGCGCAAAAATCTGCCCATTAGGCATACGCTATTTAATAAGTATAAAAATATTCATCACATTTAAAATTTTAACATAAATAATTAATAAAATGTCAAAAATTAGTCACAATATAAATTAGAACAGGCATTAAATAAACAATCAATAGCAAAAATGACAATTTTTACACGAAGTATCGGAGTCGTGTGTCGCTCGGTGTTTGGTATCCGGCCTCGATATTATTATACTAACTACACCCCTAACTTTTTATTCTATCTTTTGTAATTTTATTTCCCGGGAACGCGAGCGAAGCCGCGGGCAGAAGTTAGTCTTAATAAAACTCAGCAACTTCTCAGTCGCGAGTTTTTATAGAAAAAATTCAGTTATGTTATTATCCCATAGGATGTCGTTTGCACGACTCCGATGTACTAAGTCGTATTCGGACCCCAACTAAATGCGTGTAACGAAACCATAGCGCGATTCAGGAATACTATGAAATCGTACAACGCCATCTATCGAGCGTGGTGACAACTTGGGCTACTCGTAATTTTTCACTCAAATGTATAAAGTATTCAATACTGTATGTATAAATACCGAATATTTATCCGTTTTTACTCAATTATTTGTACAAAAATGTGATAAATACTCAGTATTTACTCAATATCTATCAATCTTAATTAATCGTAATCAATCTTAATTGCAAAATTAATTAATATTTGTACAGCAGTCATGGTTAAACATGTTGATACAAACAATACTGTACATCTATAGTAAACATTCATTTTGCATGTATTATTATAACCTACACATGTTTTGGCAAATAAAACGATCTTTATCTTATCTTATACTATTACTAGCTGTTACCCGCGACTTCGTCCGCGTAGAATATAGACTTCTGGCAGAATTTAGGCTTTTGAATTAGTCTTTATCAAGGGAAAGGTTTTTAAACTCTCAAATGTATGTCCCGAGTCAAATGCAGACGGATCACCTGATGGTAAGCAATCGGCGTCGCCCATGGACACCTGAAACACTAGAGCTTTACAAATGTGATACCGGCCTTTTAAAGATTAAATATTTGAGGATTGTTGAGGATTCAGATATTTGGGTTAATTAGTCGTCCGCCTGTTGCTAGAGTCGGGTATATGACACCCGCGGGAAGAGTAAAGGTACCCTATTTTTAGGGATAAAATCCTCCATTGACTTCTCCCGCCTGGGTGAGGAGGGAGTGTCAGACTCTTACTGACTAAACACCACCCCGTTTATACTTGTATGATCTCTTGCTTGATCACATACTACTTTAGATGATGTTGGGTAAAATAGAATAAAGGATGTTAAATGTATCTAAACTAATATAATTATAATATAATATATTACCCCTAAAATTTGCAACGCCTGAAAAAGGCCGTTAAGCTGTGCCTGTTATTTCATAAGACCTGTATGTATTACCTTAACATGCAAATAAAGAGTTTGAGTTTGTTCCAAAATTAAAGGTAAATGGGGTAATGAACTGATGTGTATAAACTAAGTAACATGTGGCCTTTGCTGGCCGTAATGAGAACGGCCGACTTGATGGCTCGACGCGAACCAACTATTATTATAAAATGAAATGAATGTGAGGCGTAAATGCTGACGATGCTTTACGATGTGCGGTTGCACCGTACAATACTCCTGCAAAGAGTCGGCGCCCTGGTATCCCGCCAGGTCGGGTATGCTAGCTAAAAATAGAAAAATAATGGATTTGTGTTTTTATGTTTCAGATGAAATGTCTGATATGCTTGGAGCAGTACACGTCGCCGACAGTGTCTATCCAGTGCTGGCATGTTTATTGTGAAGTAAGTATCTTATATTATTATATTATCTGACTGCCTCGTTGGCCGAGTGATCGCAAGTGCGACTGCCGGGCAAGGGGTCTCGGGTTCGATTCCGTGTCAGGCAAAATAATACTGGGTTTTTAAAAAAAATCTCAGTAGTAGCACGGAGTGTGGAATTGTGCCCGGTATATGGCAATAGGCTCACCCCCTATTACATGGGACTCATAACATGTCACATCACGCCTTTTATCCCCGAAGAGGTAGGCAGAGGTGCACACAGAAGTAACACCCACTTTTCACAATTTATGTTATGAGTTCCATGTAATAGGGAGTGAGCATATTGCCATATACCGGGCACATTTCCAGACTTCATGCTACTACTGAGATTTTTATACTCATAACAAAAATAGTGAAAAATTAGTGTTACATTGTACAGTGACATTGCCGTAATGTGCTCTGCCTATCCCTTCGGGGATAAAAATGGTACTAAGTTATATTATAATTATATATGTTTATTTACAGGTATGCTGGCTACAATCTCTTCGAGCTAAGAAAATCTGTCCACAATGCAATGCAATCACCACGGCCCAGCATCTCAGAAGAATATACATGTAGTAAATATACATATACATAATAAAATATGAGTATACACAGATCAAGCCTGACATTCCACTGCTGGACTGAGTCTCCTCTACATAAGAGGGTTTGTCATAATCTCCGCAGGCAGGCGGGTTGGAGGTCGCAGTATACAAGGTTCAGGTTTATCAGAGAGCGCTGCTGCCCGGTCTCTTACATGATATGTATAATATGAATTTCATTTAACTGCCTCAAAACATTGTATTGTGTCGGTAAAAGTATTATTGAGATTTTTTTCAATATACAACTATGCCGGAGTACTGGAATGTCACTAAATTATGGGCCAATGTTTCCAAAATTTTAGCGACACGTTACGAGGTAGCCAACTGATTATTTTTTAATGTTTTATTGTATTGAACAGTCGAAATAATTTGTTTTTGATTAAGGAAAGTACCCGATTCAATTTGTGTTTTGCTCAAAATTCCCATTTATGTATGTAAACCAAATTGAGGCAGTTCAAATAAATTATTCAAGGCTTATTTCAAAATGTCTGATTAGTGTAACCGACACATAATAGGGTAGATGACTAATTTTTATTTTAATGTCCGTCTGGTAGATTATTTTAAATCATTAGACACGTATTTTTTATTTTCTTACAGAAACGAATACTTTAGACAATATATTGATTTGAAATATCACATAACGTCACTTTTGACACGATTTATACTCTAAAATGACGTCACTACCTCCCACTCCCAAACTTTGATTCGTTTTATCTAAGTATTGTTTTATTATACGACAAAATAAAAAATACGTGTCTAATATTTTTTCATTACCTAACTGACGGACTAATTACATTTTTAATTTTCATACCCTGTCATCATCCCTATTTGACGTATTTCGCAAAGTATGTTAAAATACGTGTTTATTTTGCGTTTATAGTATTCGAAGCGAGACCGCGTTCGGCGTTCTGATTGTCGGGCTCCAATGGACTAATCAGCAGCTGTAGCCAAATGCCATTTAACGCTTGTCTACATGTAGAATAAAAAACCAAATTATATGGAATTGACGTAAATTTTGACACTTGTCAGTGTCATCCCCATACATTCAGTTTTCTACTCTGTAGACAAGCGCTAAAGTGGCGTTTGGCTAAAGGCACAGGACCGCGTTCCGCGCTCTGATTGGCCGGCTCCAAAGGACTAATCAGAGTTCCGAACGCGGTTTCATTTCGATCTGGTTAAACGCAAAACAAATTCGTATTAAGCCCTTCAGCAATTATAACACATATTTTAATGTGACTAGTAAAATAAAATAAAGTCTGATTGTAATATTTTATTTGTATATTATGTTTGTGTTAGAATCTGAAAAAACAAAACTTCAATAACTACTCATATATCCCCAAGCGATCACCGATGACCGCTCTCCACTAACTACATTATAGTATACAAGGTGTTGTTTTAAAGCCGCGTCATTTTCTAGGAGGTAACTCGGCTATCGATTCTGAGTCCGAATCAATAAAAAAAATGTAGGTAATTTTTTTTCATTTTTCTGTAAATTACGGAAATCCGTAAGTGCGAACTACACGCCGCCGTCTTGTAACTAGCTTTATAACGCGGCTCAACACACACAAACTCAAACACGTAATTGATATTATTCCTAATTCCATAAAACTCCAATAAGAAACATTGCTGTCGCTTATTCTGAAATACTGTCGAATTAAACGATTTATTATAGCCGTGTTTTTAACTATTGGCCCGAAATTTTCTCTTACATTGAACCTTTATGACTTCTGTGACATGTCCCCTAGAAATGACACGGCTTCAAAATTACACCTTGTAGACCTTATTTCCAATGTACTACTAGAGATTTTTGTATGGACAAATTTAGGGGATGATTTTCAACGGGTTAATTGTCGTGAAATTCTATTTCGTTTGCAAAATAACTGGCCATAAGGACTACTTTTGATGTATAAAGTAAACACAAAAAGATACAGACGTCATTACTTTTTTAGTTTTTAATTTTTCATAGCATCGTGGATAAGGATAAGCCGAGCAGGATAGAAACCGCGCGGGAGTGGCTATTATTTAACATAATGTAAAAATATATGCCTTCTGTGAAGATGTACAATAATAGATTTATTTAGTAATAATAATTAATTAGTCCTATAACCAATTTAAATGTAAATAAAATTATTTTTTTCTATGATTTTCTGTGTTTTACTGTTTTAGCCTGAGTGAAAGCTAATGAGTGATCCACAAATTGTTGTTTCGGGTCTGGGTGTGATGTGTATGTGAACTTGTATGTTTGTAAACGCACCCACGACACAGGAGAAAATCTTAGTGTGGGCAATGTTTTATTAAAATAATAATAATTATTATATACTTCGCTATAGTGGGAAAAATATTACGAGAAAAGTGACCAGCTGTTTTGACATCGGGATGCCTGGACCAAGTCCACTCCACCTAGTTGAAGTTGTTATAACTAGTTCATCTTTTCATTAAAATTTAGGTCCTCATTGGTAACGGTCAAAAGTCAAAAGTCCACTGCCACCGTAAGACTACTATCGGTTATACCCACACACACGCATATTTGTATCTGTGTGCGTACGCGTGCGTGTGTTTATGCGTACGCAAGCGTGTTTATGCACATTAATATGAAATTACTTCCGCATTGCCGTGGAATTTTGACCTTTGTCTACCTCAACATAAATATTCGACGGAACTTTTATTGAAAGGTAGCTGATGTACTAAGGAGTAATTGGGTACTTGTCCACGCAGAAAGAGTAACTGTAAAATAGGGTGAATAGGGATCGAGAGGGGAATAGAGACAGAAGAGGGGTAAATCGATACTATGAAGAATTTCCTTATATCTATTCACCCCTCTTTTGTCTCTATTCACCTCTCGCTCGATCCCTATTCACCCCATACGGTAGCACAGAAGCTTGAATATTTGAGCTAAAATTAAAGCCAAGAGTATTGGACTGGACGCTATATTTTATTTTTTCAACATTTTCAATCGTTGGTCTCCGCACTGACCAAGGTTTCAACGCCATCTCCACAGTCAGGCTGAAACAGAAAAGGAATATATTTTGTGAGGTTATAAAGATAAAAAAAGGATTTTTTTTATCGTTTTTGTAGAATAAAAAAGACGGTCCAATAACACTGGTCAACAAAAATATTTTTTTTTTAAAGTTACAAGTGAAATAATGTATTTTTTTTATAGAACTATGCAATTGCATAGTGAGTACAATATTTGAGAAAGTATATGTGTATCACGTCTAGATTTTGAGTAATCTATTGATAAATTCCTGAAATTATATCATTTTTTGCATATTCCGTGACTTTGTACTTGTCGACCAGTGTAATTGGGATGATGACAGGGTATGAAAATTAAGTATAAAATTAGTCCGTAAGTTAGGTAATGAAAAAATATTACACACGTATTTTTTTATTTTGGAAAACAATACTTACTTAGATAAAACGAATCAAAGTTTAGGAGTGGGGGGTAAAACGTCATTTCTACGTATAAAATGTACATAGAACTCATAGAAGTGACGTCACGCGACATTTCAAATCAATATATCGTCGAAAGTATTCGTTTCTGTACGAAAATAAAAAATACGTGTCTAATGTTTTAAAAAAACTACCAGACGGACATTAAAATAAAAATTAGGCATTACAGCTATGCGTGGACATGAATAACAAAATATACATAGGTATAAGAGACGTTGCCATGTCTCCTTATATTTGCAACACCAGAGAAATAAAAATGCGTCGACGACTGGCATAAATACAGGGTGACAAGTCGACAAAATGCCACAAATCCTACAGCTGAAAGGGATATTTTTTTATACATATTTGATGGGGCGACGTTTGACCACTATCTCACCTGATGGTAAGTGATGATGCAGTCTACGATGGAGCACGTCGTCCCATAAGCAACCTATTCACTCGGGCCTTGAAGACTCCCAGGTTATACCCTTCAGGAAATACAGACTCTGGCAAACAATTCCACTCTTTAGCAGTACGCACAAGGAAGCTTGAAGCGAAGCGCTCTCATTCAAGCGGTCTCATTACAAAGGTTTTCATCTGATCTTCTGTTTTTGAGAACAGGAGTCTATCCCGATTAATTTGCTACAGGCCCCAAAGAATATAGTATACACAAATAGCTTTTTGTGTATACCTGTATTCTTGTTGTGTGTCGTGGTGTGTTAAATGGTTTTTCTTTGTTTCCTTTCTTTCATTACGCCACTGATTTGACGACCATGTTTATATGGAGATGTAGCAGATGAGGGCTAGATGTTTCCACAACGTATTCAAAAACCGAGAAAATTGGCGGGAATACGGATCGTTTTCAAACACGATCAGTCACTCAACGTTTCGGCGGCGACTGTTCCTATATAACCCCTATACTTATTATACTCTTTGCGACTGTTGGCGCGAGCGCGGGGCCCCCTCGAGCGAGGCGTGGGCGGGGTTTCGAATTTTGAATTTTAGCGCGAACGCGATTCACTACGTTACCACCATTTTTCTTATCGCGCTACATATGAGGTTTTTAACATAAGAGTAGCCTAATTAATTAATTCTGTCTCCTGCAGTAATTCACCGAGGGAAGTGGAAACTATCGATTTTTTTTCTTTTCTTTTATATTTTTTTTATGGCATTAGCTGGTAAACGAGTAGACGGATCACCTGATGGTAAGCAATCGGCGTCTCCCATGGACACCTAGAACACCATAGGCGTTACAGATGCGTTACCGCCCTTTTGGGGATTAGGAGTTTAAGGATCGTTGGGGATTCAGGAATTGGGGAAGGGGAGGGTAATTGAGCCTCCGGTAACCGCACTCACACGACGAAACACAACGCAAGCGTTGCTTCACGTCGGTTTTCTGTGAGGCCGTGGTATCACTCCGGTCGAGCCGGTCCATTCGTGCCGAAGCATGGCTCTCCCACACTTAAATCATATCTTCTGATTCACTTCGTTGCGGGAACCAAGACAGTTACTCATGTCCTTGGGACGCGCCGGACTTCAATGTTCCGGTGTTTTCATGGTTGTATCTACCGTAGATCCTGGTGCACAGGAGTTTCAGCGGTTTTGGGAGGTTGTGGCGGGCTAGTCTCATTAAAAAAAAGGAGTAGTCTACAGGGGATCTAAAGTGACATTTCTATCGTTCTATAGGGGGTTCAGAAGTCACAAATATTCTACTAGCTTACCTGCATGTCTGCAACCGTTAATGGCGGCTCATCCTCTCTAAGTACCGTCTCGCCGTCCAATTTCTTCAGATTTGGAAGTCTGCGGGCCGCTTCAGAACGCCATGCTTCCAATTCACAACCGTCATATAAAGGATTCCCAACGAACAGTAGATCTTCTAAATGAGGTAGTTCCTATAGAACATCATGAACCGTCTATAAGTGTCCACTGCTGACCAAAGGCCTCTCTCACATGGAGAAAGTTTGAGCATTAACCACCACGCTTGCTCAATACTGGTTAGCGATTTTTATGATAGAAGCCGGTAAACGAGCAGACGGATCACCTGATGTTAAGCAATCGGCGTCGCCCATGGACACACGGAACACTATAGGCGTTACAACTGCGTTACCGGCCTTTTGAGGAGTAGAAATTCAAGGATTGTTGAGGATTCAGGGATTGAGGAGATTGGAGAAGGGGGATCGGAAGTAATTGGTCCTCCGGTAACCTCACTCACACGACGAAACACAAAGCAAGCGTTGTTTCACGTCGGTTTTCTATGAGGCCGTGGTATCCTTTTTAAAAGGCCGGCAATGCACCTGTGACTCCTCTGGTGTTGCGGCGGTCTATGGCTAATCGCTTACCATCAGTTGATTAATCTACTCGTTTGCATACATTTTTTCTCATATTTATATTAAGAAAATATATACACTAAAAGCTATTTTACTGTAAAGAGGCAAAGTTTGCATGGTTTCGATGGCCAGCAGATCAACCTATCCTTTTCTGTCTTTCTCTACCTACGTACGTCTTCAACTTTATATAATTGACATACATAACATAACATAACATCACGCCTTTTAGCCCCGAAAGGGTAGGCACACAGAATTAACACCCACTTTTCACTATTAATGTTATGAGTCCCATGTAATAGGGGGTGAGTCTATTGCCATATAACGGGCACATGTCCAGACTCCGTGCCACCACTGATATTTTTTTTAAAAAACCCCGTAATACTTTGCCCGACCCGGGAATCGAACCCGAGACCCTCTGCCCTGTAGTCACACTTGCGACCACTCGGCCATCGATGCAATCGATGAATCAATTTTACAGATTTGTGTAGGTTCATCTACTGGCTTTTGTACACACGGCTACACATCAAGCTTTACATAACCAGTATAAACTGAACGGTAAATGTGCGGAAAGATGATGCGACGCGACACCAGGATAAACTGGTTTTGTATAGATTGATTTTTTTTATGGCATTGGCCGGTAAACGAGCAGACGGATCACCCGATGGTAAGCAATCGGCATCGCACATGGACACCAGAGGCGTTACAAGTGCGTTACCGGCCTTTTGGGGATTAGGAGATTGAGGATCGTTGGGATTCAGGAATTGGGGAGATTGGGAAAGGGGAGGGTAATTGGGCCTCTGGTAACCTCACTCACACGATGAAACACAACGCAAGCGTTGCTTCACGTCGGTTTTCTGTGATGCCGTGGTATCACTCCGGTCGAGCCGGCGCATTCGTGACGAAGCATGGCTCTCCCACACTTAAAATGATGTATGGCCGTGTGTACTACTAAAATATTCATTTACCTGCAACTTATTGAACTCGCTCCACTCTTTGACCAAATTATTGCTCATTAATAACACTTTCAAACTCCTCAATACATGAATTCCTTTTAGTTTTTCAATCAAATTGTATGATATCCACAATTCTTCTAGGCTGTCACCCAATGACTCCTTTAAACAAAACATATTTATGCATCATAACATAATATAACATCACGCACTTTATCCCCGAAAGGGTAGGCCGAGGTGCAATGTAACACCCACTTTTCACTATTTATGTTATGAGTCCCATGTAATGTAATAGGGGGTGAGCCTATTGCCATATTCCGGGCACAATTCCAGACTCCGTGCTACTACTGAGATATTTAAAAAACCCAGTAATACTTTGCTCGACCCGGGAATCGAACCCTACCACTCGACCAATGAGGCGGACCTTTATGCATTAACAGCGGACAATCCACTGCTGGACTATGAATCTTCCCACAGTGGCGTAGCTGGAGAACTTAACGGGTTACCGGGGCTCCGGCTCGACGTGCAGTAGTAGGAACGCGGTGGTTTTAGTTAGTAAGAGTCTGACACTCCCTCCCGCCTCAACCAGGCGGGAGAAGACATTCTAAGATTTTCCACCCTTAGAAAAAGCTAGGGGGAGGGGTGGCGGTGGGGGCGGCCCGCCCCGGGTATGACCTAGTATGCCCATCAATTACAGTTCTTTCCACCTATAAAAATTCGTAAATCTGTGGCAGATAGCACAACCGCCACTAATAAAATTATCTAGGTATCTATATACTATCGTACCACGAGCGTAAGCAAATTAAAATTAATTAAAAATTACTTGTGGTCTACAATGACTGAAACCAGATTAACAATACATGAAGACGTGATTTCGGAGTTCGCAAGTGTCAAAACTAGAAGAAAGAAATTTTAATTTTCAATAAAGTAAAGTTTCACATAATACACAAATATTTGTAATGCTTATCTTTATATACTATATAATTTCTGCTGTACGTGTGTATGTCACTAGACATCTCCCATATAAATGATTTTTCTGTACGCGTTTGAGTGGCGCCCTGGATGGTTTAGATTCACAAATCAGCCCGGCAGATGGCGCTATTGGTCTTTCCTTTACCTTAATACCCTTATCGAAATATCATAGTATGCAGAACAACGTCTGTCGGGTCCGCTAGTATTTTATTATAACGTAAATGATTATTACTTTTTATTTTTAAAGTTTCGATTGAGTTTTGGGGTGATAACTATAGTCCATGAAAACACCGGAACACTGAAGTCCAACGTCTCAGGGACATGAGTAACTGTCTTGATTCCCGGAACGACGGTTAACGATGGTTAACGAAATAATCCTTTTCATGTGGCGTAAGTATATATGGATACGGCAATAGGCTCATATTACATGGGACTCATAACATAAATAGGGAAAAGTGTTACACTATACAGTGGCATAATGTACACCTCTGCTACTCCTTCGGTAATAAAAGGCTTGATGTTATGTTATGTTGTGGCGTAAGTTCATTATCAACAGCTGGTGACAGTCTACTGCTGCACTATGAGTCTCCTCTACATAAGAGGGTTTGTCACAATCTCCGCATGCAGGCGGGTTGGAGGTCGCAGTATAAAAGGTTCGGGTTTATCAGAGAGCGCTGCTGCCGCTATAGAGTCCTACGACATCCGCGGGATGAGATACTTATTATACTGTTTGTGAGTGTGAGTGTCACTGTATTTTTCTCTAGCTGTAGTAGGTAGTGCAGTGCAGTAATTGGATACTTGCCAACTAGTCAAATTCAATACTTTTTTCAAACAGTCAAAAACGACAGTTTTCTATGAATTTTTACGAGAATGTGTATTGTGACATCACGTTTTTAAATGTCAAACAGCACACTTATTTTTTAAAAATTTGCTGGAAAAATACTAAAATAAGTTGGTCATAATATCAATTAATGGAAGTGTGATTTTTTTTATTGTTTTATTGTATTGAACAGTCGAAATAATTTATTTTTTACTAAGGAAAGTACCCAATTGAAATTATCGTTATGTTATTTTTAACTTACCATGCCAGTAAATGATTTAATATAATTCCGTCCCAAGGATAATACACGTAATTTTTTAAACGTATTCAATCCGGTTACTTTTTCAATCATGTTCGTTGACAAACTCAGTTTTCTGTAAATTATTTATTGAAAATAAAAAAAAAAATAAGTTTTGTTTTAAAAAAAAGCGCGAAAAGTAGGTACTTCAGGTTTCCGGATATCAAATACAGATAAACAAGCAAATAATTACTGCAATGACATTTGCATGAACTGCCTATACTCGGAATTTTAATTCGATTCCAGATTTGACAATTTCAGTGTGGCAACGTTATGACAAGTATTAAATAGTGACGTTGCGAAATTATTCGATATGGAAATGCAATATTTCTGGATCGATTCTTCTCGTTTATAATTTTACCCTCGTAAACTAAGAATATCAGTAAATTAAATATTTCTGAGCCGATAATTTAGTTTTGACGATTAATTAACGATCTGAGACTTTTCTTTTATAATTGTGTGTGAAATAAATAAAATAATGTAATCATGAAGGAATATGACAAATAAAACAGATAGATGTATTATGGTAATAAGTTATTTTATAAATTGTCGCCTTCATCGCTATCGCTATCCTGTCACTTTCTGTAACATTTATTATAAAACACACATACTGATTATTTATCGATTTTTGTGTGCATCACTACACTATTATATGTGGTATCATTATTTCACAAAATGACAGTAGCTATTGTCAAATCTGGAATCTAATTAAAATTCTGACTATAGTTCAAAGTTTGTTATCTAAGCATACAAATTAAATGTATATTTTACAAACTTTTTTTATTAGTATTACTTACTCGCAGTTGGTCAAAGTAGCGAGAGTATTGTCCATTTTTTCAATAGGAGGCCATTGAAACATTAAACTGACTTCAGTGGCCGTAGCCGCTTGTTCACCTGATTTTTCCTCCCATTTCTTTATAGCTTCTTTTATTGTAGTAGCTTTAGCCATTTTTTAATATTTTTATTATTTTTTACGCTTTACCGTAAAGTGACTGTTACTTGGTTACTCGGCTATTGATCAAATAGAAATAATTTCCTAGAAACGGAAATATTATCAAATACAAATAAAATCAGGGTAATATTGACTTAATAAAATTACCATTTAATATTTTACGCATTTTATGTAATCCGAAATATCAAAATTTTATTAAAATAAAAATCTATTTTTATTCAATGTTGCCAAGTACAAGAATTCCCTCCCTAACTACGCAATAACTAAGTCTTTCGTATACTTTGTGTCATGGAATGGCGTCCATTTTTTCTATAATAAAACCACGCCTTGTAAATCATATTGATTTGCGTTTATTTCGTGGTTTCTTTTAGATTCACAATCGACAAATCAACGGCATTGAAAGATCTTTTTAGGTAAGTGTCATTTTTATTTTGACATTTGATTACGCCATGCTTTTTTTTTAATTTTTCTTTTTCGGCTTCTTTTTTTTAATTAAAAAAAACAAACGCCTATCTATTCTCGGACGGATGAAAAATAGTGTTTTCGATGATGAAAGTGTTGAAATTTTTCACATATTTGCAGTTATTCAATGTAAATGAACAGATTCCAGATTTATGAGACGATTTTATGTTGACTTGTCAGCACAATCAATAATATCAAATACCTTTTTTGCTGTGTTTCCAACGCCATAGTCTAAGGTTTTCTTTTTATAAAAAGTTATTTTTGACAATTTTTGATTCCCGCTTTTTCATTATTTATTTGAATTTGTATTGCATTTTTTATAGTTTATTTATTTGCTTATTCCTTTTAATTTTGTGATATATTTCACCCGTAGCGTTTTGTAAGTAGCATTATATGGTAAAACATAACCTTTATTATTCATTCAGAATTCATTGTATTCTCATTGTAAATATGAGATTTCTATTCTTTTAGATCTTCTAGACCTCAATTGGCATTTTTGCAGAAATTACACATTATTTCGAGTTAATTACGTAATTATAAAGCTTATAATAATTGTAAAGACGATGTCTCATTGATACAATTCTTAAAAATCGTTTAATATTTTGATAATTCCAGAGTGTTTAACAACAACAATGGCTGAACCACAAGAAGAACGTTTTGTGAACGTTATTCCGATGCCGACTTCTCGCGCCAAAGTTAAGGTATGCTCAATATAAACAATATTACAAACATTTTATTATCTATTGCAACAACACCTTAGCTAGGGTAAAAATATTCTACATGAGAGACTAGCTATAAGATTGGCCTATCTGTACGTATTCTATATTTTATCAAAGTTCATTTAGTTGTATCTTCATGAAATTGACTGAAATTGTAATAAATATGTCAGTCAATGAGGGTGCTGTTCCAAACCTACCAACGGCAAGTACCAGTGTGACCTTTTCCGAGTTATATGTAGTTTCTAAGATTATCTAGACACCACTGCCAAACAGTGAAGGAAAACATCGTGAGGAAACCTGGGCTTATAATTCCTAATTATAAGTTTGTAGCCAACCCACATTGAGCAAGCGTGGTGATTAATGCTCAAACCTTCTCCGTGTGAGTAGAGACTGCTCAGCAGTGGGCATTTATTGGCTGTTGACGATGATGATGTCAGTTAGAGTGTAGCAAAGGGTGTGCAAGAGATTTAGGACTTTTGATAAATAAGTTCCTAAGTCCTAAATCCCGTGCACTCCGTTTACTACTACCTACCAACCAACACGTCTCTCAAGCTCAAGCCTTTGTCACATGGTATACAGAAGCCATAGATTGCCTTCTATAATCTTCAGCTCACATCCATCTCAATGTCACCAACAACTTTAAATAATTCAAACAATCCTCATATTCCTAATCCCCAAAAGGCTGGTAGCGCACTTGTAACGCCTTTGGTGTTCCAGGTGTCCATGAGCAACGCCGATTGCTTAATGCTTACCATCAGCTTATCTATCAGCTCGTTTACTAACTTATCCCATAAAAAACTCTTTAGTTAGATTTCTTTTCTAAACAATTTACCTTAAAATTAACCTATACTTCTTAGTAGCTTAACCCATACATCCCCAAGCGGTGACCGCTCTTCACTAACTACATTATATACCTTATTTCCAATGTTTAGATATTACTTTTGTATGAACAAATTTAGGGGATGAATTTCAACGGGTTAAAGTCAAGTCAAAGTCAAAGCATTTATTTCAATTAAACCATAGTTTGGTACTTTTGAAATATCAACAAATACAAAATAAATAATAGTCTGTCAGTCAGTCCGTCAGTGAAATTAGGTGAAGCTAGGTGCTCATTCCAAAATGTAGATTATTAGAAAAGAGTAACGAATGGAGTTCCATTCGTTACTCTTTTTAAAAAAAGTATGTTCCACAATGTCTCTGATACATATTTCAATACTGTACGCATATGTAAGAACAATGCAAAGACATGCTTGACGCATTATACTAATAACTTACTAAAATAAAAAAAATAAAAACATTGTAGTAGCTTGATTACATAATTCGCGCTTAATATATGTTTTAAATTTACTTTCATTGAGATCTAGTATGCTATTTGATATTTTATTATATATAGCATTTAATACCTAACCCCATAAAGGATAAAAATCACAGATCATAAGAGCATGCCTTATTTGTTACAGAAAGAAATATTTCATGATGATGACGATGAATTCCACTGCCGACTCTGCTGGAAAGGGTTTGCCAGTGAGGTAGCGCTCCGGAACCATGCTCGCATGGAGCATATTGATGCTTATGCTTCCGGAAACCCTGCGGTTTGGACTCATGCCAATGACAAGGTAAGGGCTTAATCTAATCTATACATTACATTATGTCGCGGAGAACCTAACGGGTAACCGGGGCTCCGGCTCGACGTGCAGGAGAAGGAACGGGGTGGGTTTTAGTCAGTAAGAGTCTGACACTCCCTCCCGCCTCACCCAGGCGGGAGCAGTCATTCGATGAGTTCCCCCCTTAAAAAAAAAAAAATACATTACATTATATAAAACTGACTGCCTCGTTGGCCGAGTGGTCGCAAGTTTGACTGCTGGGCAAGGGGTCTCGGGCAAAGTATTACTGGGTTTTAAAAAAAATCGCAGTAGTAGCATGGAGTCTGGAAATGTGCCCCGTGTATGGCAATAGGCTCACCCCCTATTACATGGGACTCTTAACATAAATAGTAAAAAGTGGGTGTTACATTGTACAGTGGCATTAAGTGCCGTAATATGCACCTGCCTTCGGGGATAAAAAGGCGTGATGTTACCAAAAAAATTTCTATTCTATAGTAAAATTTGCAACGCCTGAAAAAGGCCGTTAAGCTGTGCCTGTTATTTCATAAGACCTGTATGTATTACCTTAACATGCAAATACAGTCAAACAGTTGTCCAAAAACTAGAATAATTAATTTAATATTTATCTTCCGCAAAATTTCAGAAAAAACCACAAACAGACGACAATATTATCAAGCTGAAGACAGAACAGGTACTATCAGAGATGGAGCCGACCAGCGTGATGACTCTAGCGTCCAATGATGTCAGCTACATTATCATCAAAGCCGATGAAGGTCCGGAAACCAAGAAGAAGAGAGTCGAACGAGTTGTAAAGAAGGAGAAAGTAGTGAAAGAGGAAAAACAGGCGCCGAAGAAGGATAAAACTGAGCCTATTACGTGAGTACATTTATACCTATAAATAATCCGTGAATCCCCAATACCCACGACCGTTGTTCTTTCGGGTCTGGGTGTCATTGTGTATGTGAACTTGTGTTTGTTAACGCACCCACGACACAGGAGAAAATCATAATGTGTGACAACGTTTTAAAAGAAAAAAAATATGCGCAGGATTAATTTACATACATAACATCACGCCTTTTATCCTTGAAGGGGTAGGCAGAGGTGTACATTACGCCACTGTACACTATAACACCCACTTTTCACCATTTATGTCATGAGTCCCATGTAATAGGGGGTGAGCCTATTGCCATATACCGGGCACAATTCCAGACTCCGTGCTACAACTGAGAATTTTTTTAAAACCCAGTAGTACTTTGCCCGACCCGGGAATCGAACCCGAGACGCCCAGCAGTCGCACTTGCGACCACTCGGTCAACGAGGCAGTTAGGATTAATTTATATTATGTTCCTATTCTACAGCGGCCCATTCGAATGCCTACAACCTTCAACCCTGGTAGCAGATGGAACCTGCCACCAGATCTTTTTCTCATGCTGCGAGTACTCTGCCCACTACCGGGACGAACATACACGCCGTAGGAAGGGACTCCGCTGCCAAGTCTGCGAGAAGCCACTGGCTTGCAGCGGGGAGGAGGCACCGGCGCCCTATGCATGCGAGGTGAGTTCCTTATATAGTTTACCAAGGGATGGTAAGTAAAACGCGAGTGAGGTTTGGAACAGAATGATTTATTAGAACGTCTACTCGTTTTATTTATACGTTTGGGGTAAACATTAATTTTACTCAAAATATGACGGACCAATCATAAACGACTAATAGTTCACGGGCCTGCCGCGCTCAAGGCGTGTCGCTGCTGTCGTCGAGGCGTCTGATACAATAGTATCACTGGGTAACTGCCTACAGTAAAGTCCCATTTCTCTAGTAATGTTACATAACTATACATAACATCACGCCTTTTATCCCCGAAGGGGTAGGCAGAGGTGCACATTATACCACTGTACAAAGTAACAACCACTTTTCACTATTTATGTTACGAGTCCCATGTAATAGGGGGTGAGTTGGCCGAGTGGTCGCAAGTGCGACTGGCAAGGCAAGGGGCTTCGGGTTCGATTCCCGGGTTGGGCAAAGTATTACTGGGAAGACATAATGCTAAAGAAATGGAGATAACAAATGAATGAAATAATTTTAAACTGTCAAACACCAAGCGGTCACCGGTTACCGCAACTTATTGTTTTAATTGTGTCTATAATGACGGTACTCGACGATAATATGTCTCCTGATATATGTGCAGAGTCTCTATCAAATGTGCAGTCCCTCAATCAGGTATACTACACCCACGTGAAGAGTTGCGGTGGCGATAAATGTCACACCCGTGGGAAGAATGAGTTGAGAGAAATAATTTTTCTTTTTCGATCTCTTTGGCTAGATTTGGTGTTACATTGTTCTCGCACAATCAAACCAATAAAACTGTGTAACTGAAGAATTGTATTGTGAAACTGATTGGAAAAGAGTAACCTATGGAGTTTCTTGCTCGTTCTTCTCCATAGGAATCTACACCTTGGAATGAGCAAATAGCTTCATTTTTAAATTTCTATTGCTGACGTTCAAAAGTGCCTTCCTGGTCTAATTGAAATAATGATTTTTGACTTTTGACTTTGACTTTTTGAATTGCTTCTCTTGTCCCCGTAAGCAACTATAAAATAATGTTTGTATATTTGTTCCAGGTGTGCGGCCTAGGTTTACAGACCAGCAAGGAGTTGTCCCAGCACACAGCAATAGCTCATGTCAAGCTAAAACCCTTCGAATGCAACGTCTGCCACAAACGGTTCACTCAGCATGTGAGTTTAACATACTCAATACTTTATTGCTTTTCACATGTATTACTTAGGTGGTAAACATAAATAGGACACAATGTGAACCCTGTCGGGCACAACAACATAAGTTTTGGAGGGAGCACACTTGACATGTTATTCGGAGAATTAAAAAAAATATAATTAACATACAATAGAATTAATATCAAATGGAATACAAGCTAAAGGTATAATTTAAATTGTAGTATTTAGGATTCAAGTTATTTTTTAAATCTCAAACAATCAAAATTAAATACTAAGTCATAATCATAATAAAATAAAAAAATCATAATCAAAATTAAATACAAAGTCAGAATCATAATAAAATAAAAAGTCATATTCAAAATTAAAAATTAAAAACAGTCAAAATACCACCAAAAGAACAGTCAAATTAAAAACAGTCAAGATTTAAAGTTTAAATAAAGTCAAAATTAAAATGTTATAGTTAAAATGTAATAACATAATATCACGACATTTACCCCCTGAAGGGATAGGCAGAGGTGCACATTACGGTACTTAATGCCACTGTACAATGTAACACCCACTTTTCACTATTTATGTTATGAGTCCCATGTAATAGGGGGTGAGCCTATTGCAATATACCGGGCACTATTCCAGACTCCGTGCTACTACTGAGATTTTTAAAAAAACTAGTAATTCTTTTTCCGACTCGACAATCATTCCCCTTGCTCGGCAGTCGCATTAGCGACCACTTGGCCAACGAGGCATGTGAGTTTGTACCTTTATTTTATGGTGAAAGAGCTGAAAATAAACTAGCTGGTTTACTAGCGTGTTCAAAAACAAATTAAGTTGTACGCCTAAACCTTTCTTGTCTGCACGGTTGTCGCGGTGGCTGGGCAACTGGCTGCCGCGCAACGTGTAGTGGGTTCGATTCCCGCACAGAGCAATTCTTTGTGTGATCTACAAATTGTTGTTTCGGGTCAGGGTGTCATGTGTATATGAACTTGTATGTTTATAAACGTACCCACGACACAGGAGACAACACTAGAATGAGGTAAAAAAAAATTTTTTGGCAGGGCCTTTGCCCATGGGCATACAATAATTTGGGACCCTTTTGGAGTGTTTCTTTTTTATAACGTTCCTTGAACCACACTAGGATTATCTCCGTGCGGGAATCGAACCCACTAAACGTTGCAGGGCACCCGGTTGCCGCGAGGCAGAGACTATGTAACGCCAATTGCTACGATGCTTACATACCTCATTCGGTTCCTCAAAACAGTCATCAGACTTTTTATACATGCGTATCACATTTTTTTTTTTTAAACGTTACCCCACACTAGGATTTTCTCCTGTGTCGTGGGTGCTTTTACAAACATACAAATTCACGTACACATGACACCCAGACCCGGAACAACAATTTGTGGATCACACAAAGTGTTGTTCCGTGCGGGAATCGAACCCGCGACACGTTGCACGGCAGTCGGTTGCACAGCCACCGCACCAACCGTGCAGTCAACATTCATCTAATCATTAATACATAAATTACTAAACTAAACAATATCCCTCCAATTATTTCCAGGGTGGAGTACTTCAGCACATGAGAATGCATACCGGAGACCGTCCGTTCCCTTGCACCTTCTGCCCAAAGGCCTTTACCCAGAAATCAGGCCGACCAACACCTTCGCATACACACCAAAGTCAAACCATACCGATGTGTTGTATGCAGCAAGACATTCTGCCAATCCGTACATCTGAAGCAACATATGCGAACACATACCAATGTGGCACCCTTCCAATGTGGGATATGTGACAAGCGCTTTAAACAAAGTAGCCATTTGAACTATCATCTTAAGAATCATAACCCAGCCGTTATGACAGAAGAGCAAAGAGCAAAGTACCTGAACTGATTGGCATGATGAACAACCAAGTTTTGGAGCAAGAAGCTACCGTGCAAGTGGAAACTGAAATTGATAGTGAATGGTGTGTTGCTATCGCTGAAAGCTGAAGATTTTGTGTTTAAAAAATGCTTAACGAACTGTTCATAGTGAACGTGTAAACAGTGACTCGTGTAGTGTAGTGATCGTAGCATGGACTGTTAAGGCGATATATACTTATTATAAGTATCGTCATGCGCTAATGGTAACATGTAAACAGTGACTTGTGTAGTGTAGAGATTGTCCAGTCAACTGATGGTAGCGTGGACTGTCCAGGCGATACGTACTTAGGTATCGTCATGAGCTAATGGTAACATGTAAACAGTGACTCATGTAGTGTGGATTGTCCAGTCAACTGATGGTAGCGTGGACTGGAAAGGCGATACGTACTTAGGTATCGTCATGAGCTAATGGTGACATGTAAACAGTGACTCATGTAGTGTAGAGATTGTCCAGGCGATAAACTATACTGCCATTCTACAACAGTTATTTAAAAATTATATAAGTCTGTTTACCCTCTTATATAGGTAAAGTTTGATGATTCTTACGCTAATGTATGATTCTTATCTGCTATGTAGATTTATTGTAGTTTATTTTTAGGCCTATAGGCAAATATGCATGTATTAGGGACTATCAGATGATGAATTAGTCAAAAATATATTATTTTTACTCTTATATGCATTACAGTACCGTACCTTCTACAATTTATTTATCTCATTTATTGATTTAATTTAAAGCTTGGTTTTAGTGTCATTTTTCAAGCTAATATTATCTATAATATTTGTCGGAAATTCATTGAAATGTAAAATGAAAACGGCATAGAACCAGAAGTAAACAACCACAAAGTTTGAATTCTACGATTAATTAATCTGTCCTGGCAGCATAGCTGACAACACTGTACAAGGCCCTGAATACCGTTGCCAAGATGAAAAATAATGGTTACCATAGATCCAAGCACTGCTTAAACCCAAAAGCCATCCCTATAAACATAAACAATATACATAAAATTATATTTTTTCCCCTTTATTCTTTTAAAATAAAGTATGTTTTGCAATCTCTCTGATGGATATTCCAATATTGTACATACAGTTATGTTAGGACAATGTAAAGACACGCTTGATGCTTAACTCGTCGAGTACCGGTTTTATAGACACAATTAAAGAACAATAGGTCGCGGTCACCGGTGACCGCTTGGTGTTTGACAGATTAATACAAATTACAGAACATGTTCCAATATTGTACATATATGTGAGAACAATGCAAAGACACGCTTGACGCATTATACTAATTACAAAACTTACTATAATAAAAAAAAAACAAAACAAAATAAAAATCTTATAATCCTAACATGGTGCTCACATATGCATACTGACAACCCTATGTTGCTAATGAGTCCTGGACGTAGTATTATTTATTAATACTATTTATTTATTTATATATTAATATTTTTCATCTCGAAATTTTATGTTTATAATTAGATTTATGATTTTTTTGTTTAAAGCAATATATCTTCCTATTAAGCAGTTGTTTTATTATACACTTGGAAGCGAAGAGACGGAGCTACAACCTTTGTTTTTTAATTCTTAAAAAAAAATCATTTAAAAAAATGTTCTCATTTTAAAGGTAATTAGATTGCCATATATGACATAATTATGTTAGCAGTTAATAAAGTACGTGTATCGGAAAATAATTTATCAAGATTAAAAAGAAACTAGCTCTGTTTTTTTGCTCTGTTGTATATAATTCAATTGTATAATTATATTAAGTACATTACTATGTATATGTGCTTCAAAGTTTATAGATTTTATAATTATAATACTTGTAACTTAAAATATGATTACAATAAATGAATTTTTAAAGGTACATGTATTTTTTTTCATTTGGGACAAGCCCGCCACAACCTCCCAAGGTACCAAAAGGTACATGTAGTTTGTTTTTTTTTTATACACATAGTGTCCTGGTAGCAGCGCTCTATGATAAGTCTCAAAAACCGTGAAATCTATTTCGTGTTCGACCCGGGGTAAAACAACTTGCAATAAAGTTCCCCTATACTTCTTTTTTCGGTTCTTTGGCAAAGGATTCTCCAAAACGATCTTGTCGACTATAATTCCCCTATACTTATTATACCTACTCTTTGCAATAAAGAATACTTTCGATGAAAGTAAAAACAAAAAAGTAATGATGTCATCATATTTTTTGCGTAAATTTTTTTTATACAATATAAGCACATGAAACATTAGACGTAAAGTTAGGCACTATTCGCATTGCACGTGCGTGCCACCCGACTAGAAATAGGGGATGATGACAGGGTATGAAAATTAAAAATATAATTAGTCCGTAAGTTAGGTAATGAAAAAATATTAGACACGTATTTTTTTATTTTGTCGTATAATAAAACAATACTTAGATAAAACGAATCAAAGTTTAGGAGTGGGGATTAAAACGTCATTTCTTAGTATAAAATGTACTGAGAAGTGACGTCACGCGACATTTCAAATCAATATATCTTCGAAACTATTCGTTTCTGTGAGAAAATAAAAAATACGTGTCTAATGTTTTTAAATAATCTACCAGACGGACATTAAAATAAAAATTAGTCGTCTACCCTATTACATGGCATGATGTTTTGATAGTGTATGTACCATGCGGTCGTATGTGCTTTCGAAATTTGCTTTTTGCAATGGTTCACTAGCTATTTTTTGTTTTAACTATTTTTTTTTCTTTGCAAAACTATTGTATTACAAAGACTAAGCCATTTTACTTCGAAGAAAACGATACTTATTATGGACAATCCCTTTTATATAGGGAAGGCATATAATCCAGTAGCCAAAGAGTATAATAAGTATAGGGGAACCAACCAGCAGCCATGGCTGCATCGTGAGCGCAGAGGTTGGGCGATTGTTTGATTCTCGCACGGAACAATTTTGTGTTTACGGCCTTTTTTTTGAGGGGGAAATATCATCCAATTACTTCTTGTGGTTAGGCGTTAACCCAAGGCTAAGGAGACCCCGTTCCTACACCTGCTTTTCGAGTCGGAGCTCCGGCAACCCGTTATGCCTTCCGCGGCTCCGTATCGGGCATCAGCCCTATTGGGCCCCATCTGTGGTGGTCTGATGGTTCTTTGAGGCGCATGCGGAAGGTGACGCGCCGTATGCACCGATCTGGTTCTGGTCGGGCGGCAAGCTACCTTTGCTAACCGTTCGTAGACCGAAGATCGTCGCGCAATCTCCGACGCCCGGAGTGTCTTCCACGACGGCGTAAGGAGGTTTGTTTTCTCACGCGCCCCGCCTCCTTGGCTATCATAACTGCTTCGTGTTTTCGGTCTGGGAATAAAGTGCATTTACTTATAACAAACCAACATTACACTAGAAAATCCCAGCGCATAGCAAAGATTTTTATTAAAAAAAAATGAAATCTAAGAACAACGTTTTTAAAATCGATTGCAAACATTCATACAGAGAATTATGCGGACTATGCGGTTGAGCGTAAAACGAAACGCATACGTCATTGTCAGTGTTCTCGCGCACGTCGATTTGTTTTTATTCGAGAAAAATACCGACAGCTGATAAGAATTGCATTCTAATTGAATATTCTCGAATTATTATAATCTTTTATAGTGTTTTAAGTTATTGTGCACCGAGATGTTGATGTCTAAGGTAAGTTTTTTTAACTTATACACGAAAACAAAACTTACTTTAATGTAGTAGTATCATTTAACAATTTGTGCATATTTTACATGACTTTGCAGTTTAAATAGTTTGTTAATAACCTTGAGACGATATCTATTGACTTTACGAATAGTATAGAAAATATTAAATACGTAAAATGCCTTTTAATACCGAAGGACGAATGAAAACAACTATGGTTACATTTTCTTTTTTTTAATTCAAGTAAAATAGAGGCAAAGGTCATGGCTATGTTATACTTCCTTGTAGTTGTACGGAGCATGTACAGCATATATTATAATTTGAAGAATACTAATTATTTAGGTATGTTATGTATGATAATTATTATGTATCAAGAAATTTGAAATTATTGTCTTTATTTTTATTTATTTGAGGTTTGTCAAGGCTGACAAGATATTGATATTTGTTTGATTCTCCTAAGAAAAGTCACTGTCACTGGATTATTTATTTAGTTAAAAACTGAATTAGAATTATTTTTACTAAAACCTCGTCAGTGCAACAAACACTTCTGAAAACCGCATAATAATCTGTTACTCCACCCCTTTTTTTTTAAGGGGGGAAAATCAGCGAATCACTGCTCCCGCCTGTACGTCGTATGTATAAAGAAAGAAAGAAAAATTTATTTGTCAGTAATGTAGTTACAATCGGTGTTTTATCTTAATTAATGTCTCATACATTCTACCGAGGGAGTGTCAGACTCTTACTGACTAAAAACCACCCCGTTCCTTCTCCTGCACGTCAAGCCGGAGCCCCGGTTATCCATTAGGTTCTCCGCGACAATAAGGTTCTATGACCAGTTCAGCCAATCACCACATAGTTGTACACAATCATTTCAGGTCAAACTGAGAACGTCCTTGTTATCTGAAGTCTGTTAAAAAAATCTTATTGTCCATTTCAGCTGGAAGTCCTAGTAGACTTCGGTCCGAAGCCAGATGAAGTTGTCCTGAACAAGACCCTTACGGAACTGAAATCTCAAGACGGAGTAAAGGACGCTGTGTTTAAGGACGGAGCCATATTAGTTGAGACCCTATTACCTAGCACACAAGTACTGGAGCTGGTGTCTAAAACGTCTGGGAGACGAGCCGTGTTGCAGGGGTTTGGAGGTGAGATATTATTATTTTTTATATTAAGTGTGGGAGAGCCATGCTTCGGCACGAATGGGCCGGTTCGACCGAAGTGCTACCACGGCC